GAGTGAACATGGCACCTCTTAGAGTCCAGCAGAAGTAGGTTTAAGTTAGACAATCTATGAAATTTGCTTGAATCCATATGATGAAAGGTCTTTAGTACTGAGCTGTTATTACCTGTGTATCTCTCTATATAGATGGTAATAATAGAAATTATAGGGGTTAGCAGGGAGGGGAGAGAGAGGGGAATGGTGTTAGGAAAAATTAACGTGTTGAGGTGGCAAGCTGGGTGGACTGTACAGTGGGAATGTGTTTTTCAGTAGTCCAAGCTTGAGGCAGTAGGCAAAAAGCTAAAAGTGGTGGGTGCCAACATACTGGAAGGAGCTGCTGTGGGAATGGTTAACAAGGACCAGCACAGGATACAGGAAATAACCAAGAAATTGAATCAGAAAGTCTGTCTCGGTGGTACCATTTGGAGAACACAAATTTGAGGTGGGTGGGGAATGCCCCTCTCCAGGGCCTCCACCATGCCCCTAGGATAGGCTGAGTGGAATCCAAGTTCTACTACCAAGGCTTGATGGAAAGGAGAGGGTCATCATTAAAATCTTTTTCCCTGATTACCTATTTCCATTTTATGCCAGACTCCCTACTTTCTTCTCGACTCCCTTGTCTCTCAGATTTTACCCTCCCACATCTGTGCTCAGACGCAAAGCTCAGTGACTCAATACTCTGTTCATCCTTTCCATCCCTTCCTTAGGCATTTCCTCTGGTTCCATGATTTGTTTTGTTTCAGGGTTTTTTTTTTTTTTATTCATTTGTTTTTCTTTCTCCCCCTTTAAGCTCTCAGAAAAATATTGTGTCTTTTACTTAATTTTGTTGTACTCTCCTTGTTCCCCATCATACCTGCCTAGTTCTGTATTTTTTTTTTTAATGGTGAAAAACATATATTTAGAATTAGAGAGCTGGATGCAATTTAAATGATCCCAATTTTGTTGGTGACATCCAGAGCATCATAATCAGGAGCCAACTGCACGTACGCCTTCTTTTCTCCATCGGGTCTGAATAGAGTATTGACTTTGGCCACATCAATGTCATAGAGCTTCTTCATAGCTTGTTTGATCTGGTGCTTGTTGGCCTTGACATCCACAATGAACATCAGTGTGTTGCTGTCTTCTATCTTCTTCATAGCAGACTCTGTCGTCAAGGGGAGCTTGATGATGGCATAGTGGTCAAGATTATTCGTCCTGGGGGCGCTCTTCCAGGGGTATTTGGCTGCCAGTGCAGATCTTCTTTTGGCTGTGGACACCTTTCAGCACCGCCTTCTTGGCCTTCAGTGCCTTCACTTTGGCTTCTGCTTTGGGAGGAGCAGGAGCTTCCTTCTTCGCCTTTGGCGCCATTTTGGTGAAAAGGTGTATTTTTTTTTTAAGAGGAATTTTCAGTGGTTGGTGAAACAAGCTTTGTCTATGACCCTAACAGTTCTAACAAGCTGGGTATGGGACGATCATTTGCTTCCAACTATGTGGAACTGCCCATGTCCAGCTCAAATGTAAGCCCACTGAGATTAAGAGTTACCAGGTTGGGCTGATGTTTTGATGTTGCAAGCTAATCCTCCTCCTGCAAAGTTAGCATTCCATATGGGCACTGGTTCTAGTCTCAGCTGCTCTACTTCTGATCCAACTCCCTGCTTATGGCCTGGGAAAGAAATAGAGAATGACCCAAAACCTTGGGCCCCTGTGCCCAGCAGAAGCACCTAGAAGAAGCTCTTTGCTTCAGACCAGTCCAACTCTGGCTGTTGTGGCTGTTTGGGGAATCAGCCAGTGTTTGGAAGATCTAGCTCTCTGTTTGCCCCCCATCTCCTATAACTTTTTTAAGTAAAATAAGTAAATCTTTAAAAAAAGAAAAAAGGATTCTCTCTCTCTGTTTCTCCTCTCTGTAAATCTGGCTTTCCAATAAAAATAAAATATTTTAAAAGTGGGGTGAGGTTGGGCCCAGCATGATGGTTCAGTGGCTAAAAATCCTAGCATTGCATACACCAGGATCCCATATGGATTCCAGTTCATATCCCGGCTGCACCAGTGGTCTTCCAGTTCCCTACTTGTGGTCTGGGAAGGCAATTGAGGAAAACCCAAAGGATTGGGATCCTGAACCCACATGGGAGACCCGGAAGAAGCTCCTGGCTTTGGATCTTCTCAGTTCTGGCCATTGTGTCCACTTGCAGAGTGAACCAACAGACAGAAGATCTTTCTCTCTTCTCTCTTTCTCTCTGTATATCTGACTTTCCAATAAAATAAATCTTAAGCCAAAAAAAAGAAAAGAGATAGAGAGTTACCAAGTGAAGAACCCATCTTCTGTACTTTATGGGGTCGGCTTCCTGCCAGGGAAAAGAACAAAGCAAAACAAAGATTATTTTTTCAACCTGAGCCCTAGTGGCAGGCTGGGTATAGTAGATACATCATGGGAGCTGGTACAAAAGACTTGTGAAGCTCTCTGCTGTGTGAATCCCTCTGTGACCTGGAAGGCCATTGCTGCAAACGTGTTTTTGCAGACCTCTGTATATTTTCCACATTAACGAGCTGCATGTGACCGTGTGTAGTGCATTCTGTATCCCTCAGGCCTGAAAGTGTCTAAAGCAGCACTACGCAGTAGAACTCTCCGCAGCGATGGATGTGTTCTATTTTTCACTGTTCAGTGTAGTAACCACTAGCTATATGAGCTATGAAGCACTTGAGATATGAGTAAAATAACTAAGAAACTGAAGTTTAAATTGTGCTTAAATTTTTTTAATGTATCTATTAGCACAGATCTGGATTCTAGAACAGAATTTATTAAACAATGAACTAAGCAGAATCTTCACCCTGGGCGGGGAAGAGGAGTGTAAACAGGTAAATGATGCAGTAGGGTAAAGAATAACTTGAAGGAAGCCAGAAGTTCTTGCTCCTGGAAGCTTACCTTCTTCTCTGGCTTAAGTGCAGTGGTAGGGAATAGTAGGAAGAAAGAGCAGTGTGGGCAAAGGCAGAGGCCAGAAACTGTAGCAAGTGAAAGAAACAGTAAAAAAAAGCCAAGACCAAGAACAGGACTGAGTCCTTAAGACTTGGGACTCGTGAACACCAGTCGGAGAGCCCGTCTCTGCCTGTTTCTGCCTCCGTGTGCCTTTCCACCTTACCTGTGCAACTTCACAGACACTGTGAGCAAAGAGTGCCAGTTGGTGTTTGTGCTTTAGGAAGCCTTGGATCTGGGAGCCGTTGAGATGTTGGAGGGCACTTAGTCGAAGGCTTTGCCTAAAGAAAGACAAGAGCACCTTTCTCCAAAGGCCCTGGGGAAGCTCTGAAACCTTGAAGCAGTGAAGGGACCTGGGCACATTTACATTTCAGTAAGCTTAGTGGCCATTTTCCACCTCTGAATCCTTCATAGGTTTACTTGTGGTTTTTCTTTTGAACCAGCCATCTGCAGTGTCTTGTCTGGTTTATGTGGTGTTTTGTTTTTCTTTCCCTTTCTTCCTCCTTCCCTGCACCGCTCTCTCCTGGGCCCTACGCTCTCTTCCTTGATGTCCTTCTCTGTTTGACCCAAAGATCAGCCAGTAAAAAGCAGTCTCACCTGTCCAGGTAAGAGGCGTGCCACAGAGAGGGGGAAGATGACCCCTTCCTTTGCATCTGTTGTTTGAATCGATGATATCGGCACTTGGTTTAGAATGTAGGAATGCCAAAGAGAATGTAGCAAAAATCTCCACGTCTGGCCGCTTGCCTCAGCCACCCCATTGCCCTCCTCAGACAGCTGATATTAGGTGTTTATGTCCTTCCAGAGGTACTATAGATGTTTTCTCATGTGTAAACAAATATATAGCATATATATCAATAAATTATTTTTCTATTGTTTACCTGATTTTTTTCTTGTCCTCATGATTCTGTGTCTTATTGCTTTTATTTTTAATTAATAGTATTTGGACTTCGTCCCTTATTGTATATAAAAGCCTCCTCATTCTTATGTAGAACCACACTCTATGGATAGTAATTGATTTGATCACTCCCCTGTTAGGAATGCTCGGATTTTCTAGATTTTGCCGTTATATACTGTGTTTGCATGACTGCTGCTGAGTCATCTTTAGGGGACAGGAGAGAGGAATTGCCCCCTTTTTGAGGAGCAACAACTATTGATTGGAGAGCTAGCAACTTACTTGCTTTTCTAAAAGAGAGCCACTTTTTCTGTTCTTATAAGGGTCCCAGTTAAAGATGGGATCAAACAATGAATCTTGGAGTGGATAATCATTAATGGTATAAGATTTTAGGCTCCCTAGTTTCTAAACAAGATGTCTCAACTGACTGTGAGAATGGGCTGAATATGTGGTTAGAATACCATCCCCAAACAGATCAGGTGTCTGTTCTCCCTTGGTATCCAAAAATAAATGTAACTTTCAGGGGATGAGCCATTGTCCTACCTCTTCTTTTTAGAAAAGTGTGTAAACTGCCAATTACTCTATGGTTAGTGCTCAATACCCAGTTATACTTCTGGAGAACACTGTTTTGGAGAGATTGAACTTTTGAAGGACAGTAAGGTGAAACTAAAGTGGGGGCTTTTCTCTGCCATAGCTAGTTAAGTCCTCTGCTTTGTGCATGCAGTCCTTTTGTATGTTTGACCCACCATGTCCTTCCCTCCAGTATCCTCTTGCTTTGCAAATCATCACCTAAAACTAACTAGCTGTTTTTTCCCTGTCTTTTTCTTGCATTCATTTTCCCTGCTGCTTCGTTTGTTCTGTCAGCCCCCTTGCAACCTGGTAAGACCCAACAAGCATGCATATATGTGCGTATTCTCTTCTTGCTGTTGTCTGTCACCTGATTCCAGGAAGTGCAATTTCCCTTCACTTCTTACTGGCTGTTAAAAGACATCATGCTTGCATGCCAGCTGGTGGTGTCAACAGTAGTGCAGAGATGGCTAATTCCCCTAGATTGAGCAGTTACTGGGTGGTTGAGTCAAACTCATTATCCAAGATTCAGGGTCCATTTCAACAGAGCCTCATTGCATTACAAGCTTGTCCTCTCCGTACCAGCTCACTGTTGTTTTTCTTTCCCAGGTTAAGTAGCCTGTCTTCTCTGGGAGATTCTGCACCTGAACGAAAGTCTCCTTCCCATCATCGCCAGCCCTCTGATACCTCTGAAACAACAGGTAACTTTCTTGGGCAGTCACACATGGACACAGGTATATGGATAGCCAAATGTAAAATAACTTAGTCCCTATACTTAGTGCATAATAGGCATTGTGTTACTAATTTTATATAAACTATCCTTATGTCAACTGTAGAAAATGCATTTGATTATCATTATTTTACAGATGAGGAACCTGAGGCATAGAGAGGCTAAGTAACTTGGTCAAGTGCACAAGTTTGTTGGACACAGATTCAGGACTTGAGACCAATTATGCTTTAAATTGAGAGTTGCATGTTGTAATCATTTACAGGATGTAGCCACGCAGCCTCACATGTACACACAGGGTTGGAGACTCTCATAGTCATGGCTTATTTATTTATGTCTAGTTTTTTTTTAAAGCTCTGCATATGTATGTTCATGTAAGTAAAAAGATTTTTTTCCCTTTCTTTCGATTTGACAAAGATTAAGCCCTTAGTCTCCCTGTGTGAGTTATCTGGCTCTCAGTTGCTATTCTTGTTACATTCACTGGCTGTAACTTGCCTTTTCCTTAGCCAGTCTCATCCAAACCAACCAAACATTCAAAGAGACATAAGCATTCAGGATCTCAGAGAAGAATTGTTTTTTGTATAGAATACAAAGTAGGTTACAAGAGTTTGCCAGTCACCGAAGGAGTCACATCACTGAATTGTGTTTGAACAGGAAAAGTGTGGGAAATTTGGTTAGCTGAAAAGACTTTTTTTTTTTTTAAGAAAAGAGAAATCTTTTAAAAATAAAAGCTTTATTTTGTATATTTTAAAAGTAGAGTTACAGAGAGAGGAGTCGTTCATCCACTGGTCCACTCCCTAATGGCTGTAACATCTAGAACTGGACCAGGCCATGGTTTCCCATGTGGATGCAGGGATTTAAGCACTTGAGTATCCTCCACTGCTTTCCTAGGCACATTAGTAGAGAGCTGGTTCATAAGTGGAACAGCCAGGACTCAAACCAGTACCCAAATAGAATATGGGTACTGCAGGTGGCAGGTTTACTTGCTGTGTCACAGCGCTAGCTCAGAAGAGGCTTCTTGAGGAAGACGTTAACTTGGAGCTTTCCTAGGTTGGCCTTGGCTTGCATACACTGACTTTCAGTAACTCTGCCTACTGAACCTGCTTCTCTGTTTCTTACCTCTTGCCAGGCCTTGTTCAGCGTTGTGTCATCATCCAGAAGGACCAGCATGGCTTCGGCTTCACCGTCAGTGGGGATCGCATTGTTCTGGTGCAGTCTGTGCGGCCTGGTGAGTGCTGCTTCCTTCTGCTGCCCTGCACTAGATGTGGCAGTGCAGTATGGCTTGGAGACCCTCCTTTTCTGAGGTTCCCAGGAAGTTCTGGATGGCCTGAATGAATTACTCTAAAACAGGTTCCTGCACATATCTGGCAAAGTCATCACAGTGCTAAGCCACTAGATCACATTTCTGGGGACCACATCACATACTTGCTTCCCCATTCGGAAAGTGCAAACCAGCTAGTTCTCAGAGCATTAGATAGATGCCTGATTGTCATGAAAGGGAGTACTTTGAGACTGGGTTAGGAGATCGCTGGGTAGGAATCACAGAGGCCTCCTGTATTCATTATTACCTTTACCTTGGCTGTGGTGGTGCAGGGTTTGGGGGATGGGGTGGTGCAGGCACTTTCCTCAGACATTTACAGTAAAGACAATAATGCAAATGGTTATAGAATACATTTGCAAATACATCAATAAATTACCAAAAGGTAAATTGTCTCAGACATTACTTTAGAGAAAATGGGGTTTGTTTGAGTGGGGTTCCCCCCCCTTCTGGTCAGTTTAGGAGCCTCCTTAGAGGAAATAGAACTTCAGGAATAGTTTGAAGGATGGAATTAAAACACAGATAGAGGGAAAGAGTTTAGCAAGCAGGTCCATCCAGTAATACATTGTATATAGAAAAGCTGTGTACCATCAAAGGACTGTCATGTGCCAGGTGTGGGGACATAGTTGGTAATCCAGGCTGAAGAGAAAGATAGGGTACAAACGAATGCAACACAAATACACGGGGACAACTTCAATGTAGCAAATGGGCTGGGCCAGCAACATGGAGAAGCATCATAGGCTTGATTTGTTGGAGAACATGAGAAAGGGTAAGGAGCAGGCTTGCCATTTCACACCAGGAATAAAAAGGAAAGGAAAAATATACTGGTAGTAATGTTGGAGAAAAGGCTAGGGTGTATTTACAAGAAAAATGAAAAGAATTTCAAAATTATGACCAAAATGAGGTGTATAGATCATACAGGAATATAAATAATTATGACTTCATACATTCCAGAATTAAATTTTTATCAGAAGGAGGGATTTGTTTTTCAAACCCTAGGGTAAGACTCTGAAAAGATAGTTGTGTTATGTGCCTTATTAACTTCTCAAGGTTCTTTTACAAAGTGAGACCAAACTTAAGAAGCTGCCGGTGACTTGCTGTGCCTCTGTGGTCTGTCTGACACAGAACATGTGAAGTCTACCCTGGAGAAATGCGGATTCAACTCTTTTTTTTTTTTTTCACTTGTCTGAGGCTTAGCAGAGTCAGACCCAAAGAACAAAAAGATGACTTGCAGTAAAATAAGAGTTTTGGCAAGAGTGAACAAGCATCCACATACAAGAGGGAGGGAAAGAGAAAATGTGTGAACTGGGTAGGAGAGGAGAGACTTCTTTTGGATTGGTATTAAAACTGCAAGGGTAATAAAGCAATTGTTACTGACTTTTCCAGAGATTAGGTTTCTTTAGTTCTGTTTCTTGAAGTATAGTCTTTGTTGTACCTACATCATAGGCTGGAAGATGATTGAAATTCTTATTCCCTAGGCCCAGCCCTAGAACTAAATTGTCTAGCAAGGGAGCCAAGGAATACAGTTAACAAGTTCCCCCAGTGATTTTCAGGCTTACTGAGATCTGGGAACTGCCGTCAAATTCCTTTACTCTAAAGAATTGTGGGTTTCTTTAAAGTCAGTTATTAGAAGTCGCCTCACATGTTTCATACATCCCAGTAAGGCAGCTCTTTCTTATCCTGCTTTATTTTCTAGATAGCTATATAAGAGAGTTTCAAAGCTATTTGCAAATACTCTTCCATAAACAACACTATACTTGAGATGAGGATAGTCTTGATCTTACAATGAAAAGCCAAACTAAAATCTAGTCATCTCTGTATTCTTTCTTTTGCATTAGAAACATATAGATAAGCCTTATGGGAGTTTTGTTTGTATCAGATAAGTACAACTTACAGATTTAATGATCATAAGGGGCATATTTACAATGTGATTGTTATGCTTTTCATTAACTTGTTTTAGCTGTTATGTTTCTTGTATTTTTTCAGAGGCAAGTTAAACTAGGAATACAAGTTGTTTAAAACTGTAATGGCAGCCCATGTTGTAGCACAGCAAGTTAAGCCACCACTTATGTCACCAGTATCCTGTATCAGAGTACCAGTTCATTGCTATTTTTCCAGTCTTGTGGCTTCTACCTGGCTAACTCACCACTGTTACAACCATTTGGAGAGTGAACCAGCAGATGGAAGATGAATCTATCACTCTGTCTTTCCTTCTCTCTTTCTGCTTCTCTGTCACTCTGCCTTTCAAATAAACAATTTAAAAAATAAAGTCAGTTTTTACTGGTCAAAACTGCTTCAACCTCTATGTGAGTTGTAACCTTAAATAGTAGAAAATATTTTGTACCTAGCATCTCTTACTTACTTTTCATCAAAAGCTCTTAATCCAGTCCATTTTATTTGTTTATTTAATAATACAGTTCCATAGGCTCCATATCTAGACATAATTCAAATAAACCGCACCTCCTCTTTGTGGAGCCTGGACCTGCCCATCTCTCCTGCCTTGGCCTTCTGACTATCAGAAACCTCGTATCTGAGTAGATGATAGGGGAAAAAAAACCAGTTAATGACCTTGCATAGTCCATCCTGGTTCAAAAGTCATTGTGGCATTGGCACAGAATAGGGTGCACACTCAGCGTTTGAGTTACTTAATACAGAAAATGAAATAAAATTTCAGAGAGGAAATTTCTTAGTTTGGGGCTATTATATCAGAACACCCCAGACTGGATGACTTATAAAGAGCAGAGATTTACTTCTTACAGTTCTGGGGGTTGGGAATTCATGATCAAGGTGTTGAAAAGGGCCTTCTTGCTCCATCATCCTGTGGCAGAAGGCAGGACAACATAGGACAAGAAGACAAACTTGGCAGCAACAAGTCTGTTTATAATCAACATTTAGCCATTCTTGAAAGCAGAGCCTTTGCAACCTAAACACTTCCTCTTGGGCCACACCTCCCCACACTGTTGCATTGGGGATTTAGTTTCCAACATTTGACTCTTAGGGAGCACATTCAGAGGCAGGAAAGGATCTGGGGCCTTGGTGTAGATTCATTGACTCTGGAAGAGGTTGTTGGGCTCTGCTGACCAGGCCTTCTCCTTACAGGAGGTGCAGCCATGAAAGCTGGTGTGAAAGAGGGCGACCGGATCATTAAAGTGAGTGACCCCAATGCAACCCCCCCTCCACCCAGGAAAGGATATGTGAGCAGGACCACTTCTGACCTCAGTACATCCTGCAAACCGCCATTTTAATACCACTATCAATTGGCTATTGAGTTGGGTGGTACCGTGAATGGAAACACAAAAACACAGCATGAAAGAGAGTGGGGATTAAAACTGCTGTGTTCTGTCCTCTAGACTTTCAAATCGGAAGCTACCAAGCTTCTAAAACATGTGTCATTATTCCAATTTCAGTAGACGACAAAAATAAGAAGACAGAAATGTGAATAGTGAAGGACCCAGACCTTCAGATTCTCAGGCGCCATTTTGTCCTACATGCATTGCTGACCTGAGGACCTTGCCAGTTCCAACCAACCATGATCTTTCTTGTTCATTCTGGTCTGTCTGCTGCACAATGCAGTCTTAGAAGCATCAGGGAAATGGTAGATTAGGATCTTGTAGTCCTCTAGAAAAAAAGTACACCAGGTCAGAGGACATATACTTGTGTGCAGGGCAAATAGTTTAGAAAGTGTATATCAAAAATGAATAAATGAATGGATAAGCCAACAGTCAACAAAGACACAGATCTTATCCTTGAAAATTTACAGGCCCGCTAGGGAGACAGAACACAAAGATGTGAGCAGAAACAAAATTCATAACATGAATTTGAGTAAACATGACCAAATATGGCTAAGGAACATTGGAAAGTGCCTTCCTAAAAATGTGCCATTTTAAACTTTAAGAAGCATCCCTTGGTTTCCATCACCATTACTCAGCATTATTTGTTCCTCCAACAGGTCAACGGCACCATGGTGACCAATAGCTCACACCTGGAGGTTGTGAAGCTTATCAAATGTGAGTTGGAAAGCGGTCTGAAAGCTAAAGAAAGCAGGGGAGCAAGTGGGCAGAAGGGAGAGGGAGGAAGGGAAAAACAGACTATGACCTGGAGGACTCTGTGGTTTGTAAAGCAACCAAAATTATGTCTTTAATCTTGACATGGAGTGATCTTCTTGGGCAGCCACAATTCCCTCTTATCATTTCAAGTGGAGACACTATTAGTCTCTCATCAGATATTTTCATTTTTACCCACACCCATTATTATTTTTCTCATTTTTATTATATCCTAATGATATACTTCACTCAAATAGTATTCAATCCCCTCTCCCATTCACAGACCTTTCTCATTTGTTTCCTATTTAGAAACAAAGAAGTAAAAATTTCTGTTTCTGGCAAGAAAAAAAAAATTGAATCTGTACAAGTAATCAAATAGAAGCAATAAATGTTAAGGAAAGAATTAAAATATGTAGGCAGTTTGGGGAACATGCAGAATTTGAATGTCTTCCATGTGCCAGACAGGCAGAATGCCAGAGAATCTACATGGGCCATTTAACTCACTGAGATGCAGGAGGTAACAGGGTACTGATGAGACAGCCCATTGGGTGTGTTCTCAAATATTTGTGGATGGAATCTTGGTTGAAGTCTGTGTGAAAGAAGGGAAGGAAGTAGTACTTAGGTTGATGCAGGAGGGGAGGACAGGAATGAGACAAAGTGGAGGTGCACAACTTAACCTTCAGGATCAAGAACTTAATGAGGAGGAAGGAAAATCACCTCTGTGGCTTGAATATCTGATTTCCAAAACAGTACCACTCAGATCTTTCTTGTTTTCCTCCAGCTGGCGCCTATGTTGCACTGACACTCCTGGGCTCTTCTCCTTCATCTGTTGGTGTCTCTGGGCTCCAGCAAGACCTACCCCCAACAGGAGCTTTCCGAGCCACCCCTGTGATCCCCCCACCACCACCATCTCCTCCACCTCTGCCACCTCCACAACGCATCACAGGACCCAAACCTCTTCAGGTACCAGTCCTCCTGACTATCCCATTGGGAAAGAAAGATGAGGCTGTGATAATCAGAGACCAGCTTAAAGATATGTGGAAGACCATCAGAGAGTTAAACAAAAATGAAAGCTCTGTGAAAGGAATTGTCCTGTGTGTTAATGTCCTCCTTCCATGTGAGTGTGTGTGAGGTTGTATCACACTACAGCATTTGGTATGCAAAGGTGTGGGAAACTCACAGTAGGTCCTCTAGAGTACTGCTTTTCATCGAGAGAAAGTACACACCTCAGGCAAGGACAGAAGAAAGGAAGCATCTGTTAAAGACCTAGCAGACACTGTTAGGAGGGTATGTTATACAAATCAAGAAGTTGCGGAAGGATTTCTACACTAGAAAAAGGACTGTGTAGAGGAGCAGAATAGGGATCCCAGTTGGTATAGGACAATGACAAGTACAGAGAGAACCATAAGGGTGAGGGAAAATCTGTCAGTGAAGAGGACAAGATGCTGGTATGGGAAATAGGGCTTATTTCATTTAAAAAGACTGAACCAGAGAGTCCTGGAAGACCTAGAAGGTGATTATATTCATGGTTTCTAGGAGTTCAAGAGTAAAATTAAAATAAGATTTCATATTAACTGCCTCTAGCCAGATACCAAGTGTTACAAAAATGAATGTATGATCCACACTCTGTACACCTTTTCTTGCCAAGGAATCAACAGATAGAAAAGAGTTAAGTTACTGAGCTAGTCCCTAACTCTCACCACTATCTTATTTTATATTCCTAGGATCCGAAAGTTCAAAAACATGCCACCCAGATCCTCAAAAATATGCTGAGGCAGGAGGAAAAAGAGTTACAGGTAAGGTCACTACTGACAAACTTACTGTTTCTCTAATAAAATAATACTTTATCAGAGTTGACTGTCAGTGTATTCAAATTAATTTGTAGGCCACATCCTATTGCAGTAAAACTTTGGAAAGTAAAACTTCAGAAAGTCAAACTTCAAAACCACTTAAGAATGGTCATTGGCCAATATAATTTGTTCAAATAAAATTTGGCCAGTAGAGTAAGTTGCTTCATGTATAATAGATTTGGATACTGAATATGTAGACAAAATGTAGATAGGTGACAAGATAGATAGACTAAATTGAGAGGACATTAGAATTAAAGAAAATCAGGATCAATTGAAGGAAAGAATTTAAAAAGATAGTGGTGGGCTAGGTGAATACTGGCCAGATTGATGGGCTCTTTTGGTTAGGGAGTAGGGGCAGAGAAATTTCGAGGTCTATGAATCCATACGCACAATGAACAATAAAAAAATTAATTTGACCAGAGTTGAATAATCAGATTTCTGTTACAGCTGTGACTTGCAGCTCTTCACCACCACATCCCTTTTTTTTCTTTTTTTTTTTTAATTTTAAGATTTGTGTATTTATTGGAAAGTCAGATATACAGAGAGGAGGAGAGACAGAGAGTAAGATCTTCCATCCAATGATTCACTCCCCAAATGAGCACAACGACCGATGCTATGCTGATCTGAAGCCAGGATCCAGGAACTTCTTCCGGGTCTCCCACACGGGTGCAGGGTCCCAAAGCTTTGGGCCGTCCTCGACTGCTTTCCCAGGCCACAAGCAGGGAGCTGGATGGGAAGTGGAGCAGCCGGGGTTAGAACTGGCGCCCACATGGGATCCTGGCGCGTTCAAGGCGAGGACTTTAGCCGCTAGGCCACACCGCCAGGCCCCACTACCACATTTCAATTCAGTACATTTCTCTAGGTGTCCGCTATGTGTAAAATATTCCATTCCTATAGTATGCACAAATGAAAAAGATTACATGGGCCTCGTCCACAAGACATAATGGTACTACTATAAAGATGTGTTTAAGGTCTCAGGGGGGTAAGGGGAAGACACAGTTGGAGGGAGAGTGGAAGGAACAGAGAGCTTGCAAGAAGAGCAATTAGTTAATGGAAATGTGGGAAAAGGCTTCACAAAGGAACTAGTATTTCAGATCTGCCTTAAAGAGTAGTATTTTGGTAAGAGAGAGATGGAAGAAGGAATGCTAGTGAATGGACCATGTAAGTCAAAGACACAGAATGGTAAAGTACTTTCACCTGTTAGTATTAAGCTCTTGCTGTGCAGGTAGGTATTCTGTGTACACTAAGATGATGGATGGGAATAGTGTTAATGGTAGGAGTTAAAGGAAATGAGTGGATGAATAAAGATATAAGTGCTGATGCACACCGCTGACAAATGTAGAATAATCAAGATAGTAGAGGACTGGTATAAGGATAGACCTATAGTTCAGTGGAATCGAATTCAGAGTCTAGAAATTAACCAATACACCTTTGGTCAATTGATTTTCAACAAAGGTGCCAAGACAATTCAATGGAGAAAGAATAGTCTTTTCAACAGTGGTGCTGGGACAACTGGATATCTACATGCAAAGAATGAATTTGGAACCTTACCTCACACAATAAAACTTAACTCAAAGTGGATCAAAGACTTAAATGTAAGAGCTAAAACTTTTAAAAACTATAAAACTCTTAGAAGAAAACAGGTATAAATCGTCATGACTTTCTGATAGGCAGTGTTCTTTAGATTTTACACCAGAAGCATCAACAGTAGGGGAAAAAAAAGATAAGTTGTATGTTGTCAAAATTAAAAACTTGTTTTTAATTGATAGGACACTATCAAGAAAATAAAAAGACAATCTACAGAATGGGAAAAATGTTGGCAAAATTATCTGATAAGGGGTTTACAACAAGAATATGTGAAGAACTCTTACAGACCAATAATAAAAAGGCAGTTGAATGCTTTAAAAGCCAAAGGGTTTAAATATAGTTTCTTTAAAAAGATATACAAATGGCTAATAAAATTGCTTCTCAGCCTTTTGGCTGAGATCAAGTGTAGTACAGATGGCTAATAAGCCCATTACCAAGTTGTGCAACACTGTTAATGATTGCAGTATTGTTGATCAGAATGACAGTGAGGTACTACTTCACGCCTGGTTAGGTGGCTGTAACCAGAATAACAGACGGGATATGGAGAAGTCTGGGTAATACTATCTTATATTTTGTCTACTTCCTTATCTATTTCCCATCATTGACTATAGAAATGTAAAAGTACAGCAGCTCGGGAAAGCAGTTTGCCAGGTTTTCCAAATGTTGAACACAGAGACACTGTATGATCCAGCGATTCTCCTTCTAGGTGTATACCCAAAAGAACTGAAAATGCGTTCACACAAAAACTTACACATGAGTATTAATAGCTAGAAAGTAGAAACAAACAAAGTATTTATGAGCTAAGTAAGCTAAATGTGGATACATAAGCTGATATAATGATATTATTCAGTTATAAAAAAGAATAAAGTGCAGATACAAGCTGTAATGTGCTTTAACTCTGAAAATACTTAGCAAAATGAGAGAAACCATAGAAGTCTGTTTTATGATTGCATTAATACAGAATGTCCAAAATAGGCATTTCCATGGAGAAAATAAGTGCTTGCCATAGGATGGACAAAGAAGCAAATTGGGAGGGACTGCTGACAGGTAGCAGCTTTCCTGTTGCAGAAATGGGAATGCTTGCATTTAGATAGTGCAGACACATAACTCTGAAGCTGTACTAAAATCCATGGAATTTCATACTGTAAAGTGGCAAAGTTTAATTGTATGAATTATCATCTCAATAATCATGTAAAAGGTTTACATTGAAGCCCTGTCCCTTCAAAAAAGGAAATTAGTACAGATTATCAGGCTTCCTGGGGTGATATTTGAGTTGGATTCTGTCTGCTGTTAGAGCATAGAAAATGGCCTGTTGCGGGGTAAGAGTTGAGGGTGTTTGGTAGTCTTAAACACCATGATGAGTTTGGAGTTTGTTTTGAAGGCACTAGGAATTGATCAGAGGATTTTAAGCAGGGTTCTGAACACATTTTCAAGTCAATCTTTAGAGAAGGGTGTTAAGTAAATTAACTTAAGGAAAGCAGCTAGATGGCAGTTGCAGAAGATAAGAGATAGTGATAAATTTAACAAGAACAGCTGGAATAAGAGCAAAAAAGCAGATAGCAATGGGGGGGCATCTTAGAAGTCACATCAGTTTTATAGTATGCATCAGCTGGAAGGGAGAGGAAGAATAAATGGTGGCCTCAAATTTCGGTGCCTGGATAGTTGTGATGCCATTGATGGTACAAGATGAAGAAAAGTAGAGCTTAGAGGAAAGAAAGGGTCAGCTTTGGGTGTAGAGTTGAAGATACCCATGAGACATTCAGTTAAAGACCATTCACCTGGCATATGAATATAAAAGGGCTGACATATAGGAGAAAAGACTGAATTGCAATAGAGACTCAGGCACTCTCAGTATAAAGGTAATAAAGCAAATTAGATCTGAGAGAGATCACCTAGGACACCAGTGTAGACAAAAAAAGCTGTGCTTCTACAGCACCTTCACCACCTCGAATACTGCACCTCTTGTGGTTTTGTTTTGTTTTGTTATCTTTTAGGTAGCTGTTTGAGCTAATACGGAAGGAAATAAATTGTGTATATTGGGTGACTGGAAAGCAAATAGGAGACTCCCAGGTGTAGACAACTGACTTAAAGCATACAGCTGTGAAAGGAAGGAGGAAAAAAGTGGGACAGGAGCTTGAAAAATAATTGGAGATGATGGAAAGAATTTCCTGGTGTGTGTGTTTTTTTTCTTTCAAGTTTGGAAACTTGAACATTTTTGTCAGAAATGGAAAAGGAAGACTTTGAAGATAATATGAGCAATGTCGAAAAAGAGTCCAAGGCAGTTGGTGGGCTTACCTTTGTTAAAAATTTAGACATGGGGCCCAGCGTGATACCTCAATGGGTAATTCTTCACCTTACAAGTGCTGGGATCCCATATGGATGCCAATTCATGTCCCAGCTGTTCCACTTCCCATCCAACTCCCTGCTTGTACCCTGGGAAAGCAGTGGAGGACGGCCCAAAGCCTTGGAACTCTGCACCCGCGTGGGAGTCCCAGAAGAAGCTTCTGGCTCCTGGGCTTGGGTCAGCTCAGCCCCAGCCATTGCTGTCACTTGGGGAGATTAACCAACAGATGGAAGATCTTTTTTTTTTTTTTTTTTAAAGATTTATTTTTTATTATTTTTTCATTGGAAAGGCGGATATACAGAGAGGAGAGACAGAGAGGAAGATCTTCCGTCCGATGATTCACTCCCCAAGTGAGCGCAACGGGCCGATACTATGCCAATCCAAAGCCAGGAGCCTCTTCCGGGTCTCCCACGCGGGTGCAGGGTCCCAAAGCTTTTGGGCCGTCCTCGACTGCTTTCCCAGGCCACAGGCAGGGAGCTGGAAGGGAAGCGGGGCTGCCAGGATTAGAACCGGCGCCCATATGGGATCCCGGGCGTGCAAGGCGAGGACCTTTAACCGCTTGTGCCGCCGCGTCGGGCCCCTGGATGGAAGATCTTTATCTCTCTCCTTCACTCCATAAATCTGATCTGCTTTTCTAATAAAAATAAACAAATCTTTAAAAAAGAAGATTTAGACATTTCTCATATGCAGGAAGAAGACAACTACAAATATTTTTAAGTAGAATAAAGTTGGACCAGTTTTTATCAGATTGTTGCCTGCTGAGACTCAGGGAAGGGTTGGGGCCTGATAGGTATGAAGAAGGTAAAACACTGAGTGTGAGAGATTGGTGGCAAAGTTTGCAGGTAGTAGAGAATCCAAGATTACTTTAGGAAATATGTGAGCCCAGCATCTTTATGCAACCAGCAAGCTTTATTGAGAACTTCCATTTCAGTGAAATATGAATAGTTGCCATGTAGTTGGGCTTGTGACTGGATACTGTGCTGAGTGAGCACTCTACACACAACCCCATTCAGATCTTTTTTTTTTTTTTAAGATTTATTTTATTTTCATTACAAAGTCAGATATACAGAGAGGAGGAGAGACAGAGGAAGATCTCCCGTCCGATGATTCACTCCCCAAGTAACCACAATGGCTGGTGCTGCGCCGATCCGAAGCCAGGAACCAGGAACCTCTTCCAGATCTCCCACATGGGTGCAGGGTCCCAAGGCTTTGGGGCATCCTCGACTGCTTTCCCAGGCCACAAGCAGGGAGCTGGATGGGAAGTTGAGCCACCAGGATTAGAAATGGCGCCCATATGGGATCAAGGCAAGGATTTTAGCCACTAGGCCATGCGCCAGGCCCCCCATTCAGATCTTAATAACAATCCCTTGAGGCAGGTCTTGTCATCTCCATTTTGTTGATGAGGATATACTCAAGCTTGCCCAAGTCCACACAGCCAATAAGTGGATGTTGCAGAATTTAAAACCAGAGCTTCCTGACTGAAGCCTCTGGACCCTTACACTAAGCAATAAGTGATGCCAGGATTCCTTCTCCCGAGAAGCTTCCTAATTGGGGGTGGTAAGAGATGCTGGCTGCCCTCATCAGGCTTCTTCTCACCTGTGGTTCTCATTTAATATAAGTTTGTGTGTGTGTGTGTGTGTTTGTGTGTGTGTGTGTGCGTGTTCCAATCTGAACGTTAAATATGTCATACTTTTTTTAGAAGTATTTATTTGTTATAATTTAAAAATCAGAATTACAGAGAAAGAGAGAAAAAGATCAGTCTGCCATTGTCTAGCTCACTCCCCACATGACCACAACAGCCAGGGCTGAGCCGAGCCAGAGCTGCTTTTAGGTCTACCACATGGATAGTAGGGTTGGGCCATCTTCCACTGCTTTTCTTGATGTTGGCATTGCAGGTGTAGCTTTACCTGCTACCTCCCAATGCCAGCCCCGCCCCGTATTTCACACTTGAGAGGTGATAGTCAAGAACACTTCAGTTAGGGTGTGGGACTTAACCCAGACCTTGAAAAAGTGGGTGAGATTAGGGCAGAGATTAGGGTAGTGTTTTGTCTTCTTTCTCCATCTGCCTCATGAATTCTGTTTCTCATCACTTAACACTGTTTTCTGAGCTTAAATGATGGTAAATTAATGTGTGTCTACTAAAAGAGATTCCCCCTCTGTCCCCTTTGCTTTAGATAGTTACTCATTCTTCTCACTGATGAGTCGTCCATTCTGTACTAACCACTCCTCTACCTTCTCCCTTCCTCCTTATCCTCCTCACCCTCCCCAGCGTATCTGTGAGGTGTATAGCCGGAACCCTGGCAGCATGCTAGAAGAGCAGATGGAAGGTGCCCGGCGGCGAGTCACTCAGTTACAGCTGAAGATCCAGCAGGAGACTGGTGGCTTAGTGGTGAGTGATGATAGGCATAGCCCTAGGCAAGGCACCATGCATTTGGCCTAGGGCTAGAGCGAGGGAAAGAATAGAACCTCAAGGCTCAGCTATTAAGTGTTTAGTATTTTATAAAGAAACAAAGTTAGCAATTCTTTATCAAGAACCAGAAGCCAAACCCTGTCATAACACTTGGAAAACCATAGAAAGAAAGGGCATGCTTTTTATTTATTTAGTCACTTTCATTTTATTTGAAAGGTTGAGAAATAGGCAGACAGACCTTCTGTCACCCTGATTCATTCCACAAATGCCCACAACAACTGGGTCTGGGCCAGTCCAAAGCTGAGAACTAGAACTCAGTCTGGATCTCTTATTTGGGTGGTAAAGACCCAAATACTAGAGCCATCACCTACCGCCTTCCAGGGGACACATTAGCAGGAAACTAGAATTGGAAGCAGATCTAGAACTTGAACCTAGGCACTGCAAGATGCGATATGAACAGACTCAAACGTATCTTAACTGCTGACCTGAAACAAAGAGATAAGAAATCAATTATCATCTTTAGTGTTTTAATTATCCTTTTCTTCTGTATAATTTTCCTGTAGTTGACATATTCATACCCTAGTTTTACACAGTATTAATTTGGAAGTTTCTTTTTGTTTTGTTTTGTTTTCATTGTCTTAATTGAGAGGCAAAGTTACAGAGAGAACCTTCCATCCACTGGTTCACTCCCCAAATGGACCCAATGGCCAGGGCTGGGACAGGCTGAAGCCAGAAACCTAGAGCTGCTTCCAGATCTCCCACATGAGAGTAGTGGCCCAAACCTTTGGGCTCTTCTCCCCTGCTTTCTCAGGTGCATTAACAGGGAGCTGAATCAGGAAGTGAAGTACTGGTATCCTATGAGATGGCGCTGTTGCTGACAGGGGCTTCGCCGAATGTGCTACAATGCCAACCCCCATCTGGCAGCTTTTAAAGTCAGCCTGTGTAAAGATTTGCTTAAATCTGTATCAGTAGCTAACCACACTTTGTGGAAAATTCCAGGGAGGAGATGATTCTTTATTCAAGTCAAGAACTTCACTATTCGTCTTAATTAACTTCATTCTTTGGGTAAATAGGAAATAACTCTAGAAACATTAAGGTTTCCAAGAGGAGCTATTTGCCAGTACTATTACAGCTTATCTAAGAATTACTCTACCTTTTTTATTGGAGCAGTCCTATGAGAAAAGTTTGGTAAATACAGGCAAATGAATTTGAGCTACTTTGTTTTCTAAAAGACTTCTCATATATTGTTTATGGATGCTCAGGTATGGCCTTAGAGAGTTTGGATTCAGTTCTCAGCTGTAGTTCTCACCAACTTTTAAGACTGGGACAAGTTAGTTAATCCCTCGGAGCCTCTATTCCCTCGTTTATAAAATGGAGATTACCGCGGTACCCACCTGATATGGTGTTGTCACGAGTGAAGCACGGGCCAGCCCGTGCTTGCTGCCGCTGCCTTGGTGTCATTCTGCCCGTGTGTGCTGTGAAGTGCATATGAGTCTTACTTCCGAGATCGCATTCGAGTTCTGAGCTCTGACCTGGCTATATCACTCGAACAAATTATTTAAGATCTTTCTCTAAGCTTCTGTCGCCTCATTTATAACATGGGAGAAGTGTGCCTCAGTCACTGAACGATTCACATGACATCTAGAAAGTGCTTTGTGAACAGTTAAGCACTAGTAAGCAACGTTTCTTCCATATCACTTGGGGCAGTCAAACCAGGCCAAATTGCTAGTCCTCAGAGATCACTCAAGGTAAACTTGTGGTATCTTCCCTCTATGAAACTACTTGAACTTTTTGTGTTCTTTGATAAGCAGTTCTTTCTTGTATCCAAACCAAATAAGGTGATAGATGCTTGGAGGCCCAGGGTGATAAAGTGAGATTTTAGTTTACTCACAATAAAGCTCCCTTATGACCAGTAGGGGTCACCATCCTCCCCTAAAGGTGTACATGAAGCCATATTTGTTCTGGCTGGGCCTTTTGAGGCAATCGGCAGAAGATGCCACTGACTGTGTAAGCAAATAAGCTTCTGATTGGAGGAAGCAAACAGTAGCGGAGAGGTTTACAAAATGTGTCCATCCTCTGGGCCTTTCTTTTTTAGGACACACTTCCACTGTATGGTGACACCAGCCAGAGGCCATCAGAAGGTAAGTTCTCTTCCTCACTTTGTTGTGTGACATATTTGTGTCCAGGTTTCTTATCCGTTGTTTCCTCTGTAGGGCATATTCTGGGGAAGAAAATATTTAGTACCTACCTCTAGAGACTAGGATAAATGTATAAATAGATAGTGAAACTGAACTGCTTCAGCAGTGGAAATGAGCGTATCACCCATGGCACTGCATAGAGGCCAGGGAGATATTGCTATGATTATGGTCCAGACATCAGCTTCTAACAGCAGCTGGCACTGACTTACTGCAAGAAGAGGTGTGACAGTCACCTGAGAAATGTTGGGAATGAGTTCAGGGGTAGGACTAGTCATGTGCAAGATGTGCTACCTTGTTGCAGGAAGTAACATGGCCTTTGTGTAAGTGCTGAGGCAAATGGAAGGTGTGATAAAGCAGAGGACAGTTGTGCCAGGAGAGTCTGGGATCCACAAGATGAGAGAACCAAAAGGAAGCCAGGGGAAGAAGGGAAAATGACAGTTTCCCTTCCCTCTCCTTTGTACGGGTGCCCAAAGTAAAAGATTTTTTTTTTTTCTCAAGCTACAACTACTTTCTTTATATAATTATAAACTGTTTTCTTCTTAGGTCGTCTCTCTCTGGATTCCCAGGAAGGGGATAGTGGCTTAGACTCTGGGACAGAGCGTTTTCCTTCTCTCAGTGAGGTAAGTGCCAGCGGGTTTGAGTACAATTAAGATGATACATTTGGGGACAGAGTTTGGCCCAGCAGTTTAGATGCCTTCATCCCATGTTGGAGCCCCTAGGTTCAGTCCATCAGGCTCCTGACTCCAGCTTTTTTTTTTTTTTTGTAAAGTCAGATCTACAGAGAAGGAGGAGAGACAGAGAGGAACATCCTCCGTCTGCTGATTTACTTCCCAACTGGCCACAAAGCTGGAGCTGTGTTGATCTAAAGCCAGGAGCTAGGAGTTTTTTCCGAGTCTCGCATGCGAGTGCAGGGTCCCAAGGCTTTGGACTGTCCTCGACTGCTTTCCTAGGCCACAAGCAGGGAGCTGAATGGGAAGAGGAGCAGCTGGGATTAGAACCAGCGCCCATAAGAGATCCCAGCATGTGCAAGGCGAGGACTTCGGCTGGTAGGCTACCACACCAGGCCCTCCAGCTTTCTTTAAATGCAAACCCCGGGAGACAGTGGTGATAGCTCAAGTAATTGGATTGCTATCACCCAAATAGGAGACTCAGATTGAGTTCCCAGTTTCCAGCTCTGGCCCAAGCCCCTACCACAACTGTCACAGATATTTGAAGAGTGAATCAGTGATTGAGAGCACTCTCTATCTCTCTGTATGTTTCTGTCCATCTTGGTGCCTTTCAAACTAAAAATAAAAGGCCCAAACATATTGTCTGCATGGTTTGTTTGTTTTAAAAACGGTCTCTACATTTGGGGTCCCTGCCCTGTGCACCTAAAGGCTCTGCTTCCAGCTGGCCACATCAAGACCTCTATCTATCATCTGTGTATTTCCTCTTGCTCCGCTCCCTAGGATTTTAGTCACTGTACTCCAGGTTCCAGTAAAAGGGCTTCAGATGCATCGTACATATCTGGCTTTCATGGTGTTATTGTCAGCTTTTCATGGTATTATTGTGAACCAAATGGAGAGGAAGGCTATGCTGTTAGCAGGCCTTTCAGAAAGAGAAAGCAAGACAGAAATTCTCAAAGACAGTGAGACAGTGAGTTGATCAAAGACACATTTCCACCTGGCTGGGAAGAAATCATCTTAAAAGTAGTAACAATGGTTCTGGCCTAACCAGAAGCAACATTTTGTTTTGTTTTGGTTTGGTTTGGTTTTGGTTTTTGTTTTTGTTTTTTTTGTTTTTATTGCAAAGTCAGATATACACAGAGGAGGAAAGACAGAGAGGAAGATCTTCCGTCCGATAATTCGCTCCCCAAGTGACAGCAATGGCCGATGCTGCGCCGACCCAAACCCAGGAGCCTGGAACTTCCTCTAGGTCTCCCACACGGATGCAGGGTCCCAAGGCTTTGGGCCGTCCTCAACTGCTTTCCCAGGCCACAAGCAGGGAGCTGGATGGGAAGTTGAGCTGCCGGGATTAGAACCAGCGCCCATAAGGGATCCCGGCACATTAAATGTGAGGACTTTTAGCCACTAGGCCACGTTGCCAGGCCCTGTTTTGTTTTTTCTTTACCACAAATCTAACTTGACTGGCTCATTTTCTCTCTAGAGTGGTCAGATACTTCAAGATATTTGAATTCAGAGATGATTTCTCTCAGGTGTTCTTAATTTGCATATGTAGATGCTAAATATATATTTATAGTATGCAAGTATAGAGGAATAATAATAGGAAAATATTTAATTTTGTGAGTGATTTAGTTGAACAACACATAAAAAGCCTAATTTTAGGTAGTAGTTACTACCCCTATCTATTTGTAGGTAACTAATTACATGGGAAAAGATGAGTAAGTTTCAGATGTAAAAGCATTTCAGATTTTTTTTGGACTTCTGGATTCGGTTGCTCAAACTTTCATAAAGTCTGTGCAAATGTGCCCAACTCTGGAAATCTCCAAAATCGGAAACATTTGGGTAAAGGATATTCAACCTGTATCTAGGAGATGATATAGGTGGTGATGAAGAGAAGAGTGGAGTTATAGATTGAAATCCAGTGAGTACCTGGGAATGCCTGGGTTGAATCTAGGAAATACTTCGTTGTTTCCCCTTTGACCTTCAGCAAGTCTATAGTCTGAAGCAGTAGCATCTTCCTGTGAAAAGTAGGGGAAATTATGGGCTCTTCCTCAAAGGGCTATTGTGAGAATGGGAGGAGGTGAAAAATAAGAAGGACTATAATGCTAGGCACAGAGTAAGAACTGAATGTTTTTATTATTTTAAGGTCAATTTATTTACTTATTTGAAAGAAAGAGATCTTCAATCTGTTGCTGACTCCCCAAATGGCTGAAACAGCCAGGTCTTGCCAAACTGAGTGTAGTTAGCACCAACAAATGAGCTGAGTAAACCCCAAGGGTCTCCCAGGCAGGATTCCTTCTCACAGAATTCTCTGTTACTCTAGTCATTGATGAATCGGAACTCGGTACAGTCAGACCCTGGACTAGATAGCCCTCGAACGTCCCCTGTGATCATGGCCAGGGTGGCCCAGCACCACAGGCGGCAGGGCTCAGATGCAGCAGTCTCTATCAGCGACCAGGTGAGTGATCTGAAGCCACCCCCAGATTTCCTTTTCCTTTTGTCTTAACAGATTTGAATGTTATCAGCACACAATCTTGAATAATCATACTGAGTTATTCCAGCAACAAATAATAAGAAAGATCATGTTTTTCTTTTCTTTTTTTTTTTTTCCAATTTATCAATTGTTATTTCAAAAGCAGATCCACAGAAAGAAGGAAAGACAGAAAGATCTCCCATCTGCTGGTTCACTCCCCAAATGGCCACAACAGCTGGAGCTGAGCTGATCCAAGCCCAGAAACCAGGATCCTCTTCCCAGTTTCCCAAGTGGGTGCAGGGTCCCAAAGCCTTGGACCATCCTCTGCTACTTTCCCAGGCCTCAGCAGGGAGCTACATGAAAAACAGAACATCTGAGGCACGAAGCAGCACTCAAATGGGGTCTCAGCACTTGAAGGGAAATGATCACATCGAGCCAAAAATATCATGGCATTAAGATACATGGAAGGTCTGGTACAATGGCTCAAATGGCTAATCCTGTGCCATGCAGTGCTAGCATTCCACATGGGCATCAGTTCGTGTCCTGGTTGCTCCACTTCTCATCCAGCTTCCTGCTTGTGGCCTAGAGGAGGGCCCAAAGACTTAGGACCCTGCACCTGACTGGGGGATCCAGAAGAAGTTTCTGGCTCCTGGCTTCTGGCTACTACAGCCTTTTGGAGGAAAAACCAGCAGAAAGATCTTTCTCTTCCGCTCTCTGTATATCTTTTTTTCCAGTGACAATCTTTTTAAAAAGTACATAGAAGTAATGCAGTCTTGAATTCTGTGTGTAGGGTGAGCAACTACATCTGTAGGAATATGACAGCTAAGCAACAGGTAAACTGGTCTTTCTTTGAACATCTGTAGAGAATAGACATAAATTTATTTATTGTTTCTCTGGGATACAATTTCAGTTTTCAGAAAATGAGCTCAGCTCTCCCAAGTCCTCTCTTCATGGACCCTGCCCCTCTCGATTGTTCTTCCATGGCATCCTGAGGTTCTTCTACCTCACTTTTTTTTTTTCTTAGTTGAAAGTCAGAGCTCCAAAGAGATCTGCCATCTGCTAGTTCACTCTCCAACTGGCCACAACAGCCAGAGCTTGGCCATCTGAAGTGGGAAGCCAGGAGCTTCTTCCCAGTCTCCCACATGGGTACAAGGTCCCAAGACTTTGAGCCATCCTTTGCTGCTTTGCCAGGCCATGAGCAGAGAGCTGGATCATAAGTAGAGCAGCCATGACTAAAACTGGTGGCCGTATGAGATGTCATCGCTGCACAATTTGCCCACTAAGCCACCATGCTGGCCCCAAAGTCTGATTTAGGAACCCCTGCTCTCAAGGATGGACCTAGTCCAGGAACAATTTCAGAAGAGTAAGTGATTTTGACTTAGTACAACATGTTTGGGAAGAATCTGGGCTGTCTGTCTGGCAGTGGAATGGGCCAAGGCACAGAATTACCTGCCGTGATTCACACTGAAGCTAGACCTTTCCTCTTAGAAACACTGAGAAGGTGTCTTCTAGTTTTGTAAACCAGCACTTTAAAAAAATGGTGCTGGGGCTGGTACCCCAGTGAGTGTTGGTTCAGGGGCTGCCTTGCTTCTCATCTGGATCACTTCTAATGTGCCTGGGAAATCAACAGAAGATGTCTCAAGCACTTGGGCTGCTGCACTTGAGACCCAACAGAAGATCCTGGCTACTGGCTTCTGTCCCAGCCCTGGCCATTATATCCGTTTTGGAGTGAACCAGCTGATAGAAGACCTATTCTCTCCCCTCTCCTTCATGTAACTCTTCTTCTCAAATAAATAGAAAAGATATTTAAAAAGAAATTGTCAGACCAGGCACTGTGGCTCAGTGGCTAAACCTTTGCCTTGCAAGCACCAGGATTCCGTTTGGGTGACAGTTCACATCCTAGCTAATCTACTTCCCATTCAGTTCCCTGCCTCTGGCCTGGGAAAGCAGTGGAGGATGGCTCAAAGCCTTGAGACCAAGCACCCGCTTGGGAGACCTGGAAGAGGATTCTGGCTCCTGGCTTCAAATTGACTCGGTTCTCGCAATTGAGCCATTTCAGCCATTTGGGGAGTAAACCAGCAAATGGAAGATCTTTTTCTTTGTCCTTCCTCTCCGTAAATCTGATCTTCATTTACAATAAAAATAAATAAATCTTTAAAAAAAAAAAAAAAGAAGAAGAAATTGTCATGATTGTATGCAAAGGTTGATTGATTTATTTTACTTGAAAGTGTTACAGAGAGAGGAAGGGAGAAATAGATCTTCCATCCACTGATTCACTCTGCAAATGGCCACAACAGCCAGAGCTGGGTCTGAAGCTGAGCGCCAGGAGCTTCTTCCAGCTATCCCAAGGCCTCCTTGCTTTTCCATGCCATTAACAGTGAGTTGGATTGGAACCAGAGCATCCAGGACACAACCAGCACCCGTATGGGATGCCAACACCACAGAGACAGGATTAGTCTGCCATGCCACCCTCCAGGCCCTATCAAAGATTTATTTTTTTAAAAAAAATTTACTTTTTTGGGCCCAGCGTGGTAGCCTAGTGGCAAAAGTCCTCACCTTGAATGCACCAGGATTCCACATGGGTGTTGATTCTAATCTCAGCAGCCCTGCTTCCCATCCAGCTCCCTGCTTGTGGCCTGGGAAAGCAATTGAGGACAACCCAAAACCATGGGTTCCTGCACCCACGTGGGTAACCCAGATGAATCTCTAGGCTCCTGGGCTCAGGTCAGCTCAGCTCCAGCCGTTGCAGTCACTTGGGGAATGAATCATAGGACAGAAGAATTTCCTTTCTGTCTCTCCTCCCCTCTGTATATCTGATTTTGCAATAACAAAGTAAAATCAATGTTTTTTTAAAAATTTACTTTTTTGAGTCAGAGTTGTAGAGAGAGATCCTCCATCCACTGATTCATTCCCTAGATGGCTGCAACAACCAGCACTGGGCCAGGACACTCACTGGCATCCGTATATGGGATGTCAGCATCACAGGCTGCAGCGTTACCCACTGTACCATGATGCTGGCCCCAACACTTTAAGATTTATGTATTCTATTTGAAAGAGCAAGACAGAGATCTTTCATTCAGTCGTTCACTTCACAAATAGCTGCTGTAGCTGATGCTCAGTCAGGCCGAAGCCAGGAGCCTAGAACTCTGTCCAGGTCTCCCCCTTGGGTCACAGGGGCCTAAGCTTGTGAACCATGTTCTACTGCTTTCCCAAATGTGTAAGCAAGGAGTAGAGCAGCCGGGACTATATGGAATGTCAACATTGCAAGAGGCAGCTTAACTTACTATACCACAGCACACAATGGCCTGAAACAGTGTTTTAAAAAAAGTTTCTTATATTTTATTCGCTCTTATTTGAAAGGCAGAGTTACAGAAAGTAGAGGAGATAGAGAAAGGTCTTCCAGCCACTGGCTCACTTCCCCAGATTGCAGCAATAGCCAGGAGCTTCCTGCAGGTCTCCCACATGGGTACTGAAGCCCAAAGATGTGAGCCCATCTTCTGTTGCTTTCCCATGGCCTTAAGTAGGGAAGCTGGATTGGAAGTGAAACAGCTGGGACATGAACTGGCACTCATGTGATGCCAGTGCCACAGGCTCAGCTTACTTTTACTATGCCATGGTGCCATCCCCAAAATGACACTTCTTAAAATTTAATCATCTACTGCCATAATTTCTTTTTCATTTTTGTAGTCCAAATGTATGATTTTACTTAATTTTTTTTCTTGAGAGTTGTCATTGTGGCATAACAAGTTGCTACCTGCAATGCAGAGTTTATATGAGTTTTGATTCAAGGTCTGACTGTTCCACTTGTGATTCAGCTCCCTGCCAGTTCACCTGGAGAGCAGTGGAAGATGCCCCTGAACCCACCTAGGAGACCCAGATGAAGCTCCTGGCTTCAGATTGGCTCAGCTCCAGCCGTTGTGGCCCCTTGGGGAGTGAATCAGCAGACAGAAGATCTTCCTTTCTGTCTTTCCCCCTCTCTATATATCTGACTTGCTTATAAAAATAAATAAGTCTTTTAGAAAAAGAATATTTTAATCAAGAGCTGCTGTGCAGAAGAAGAAAACATTTGATATTTTAAATGTATCCATTGGATAGAGTTTAATTATTCTTAGAACTTGGAAGGAGAGTGGAGGGAAGGAGTGGATCCAGAGTTATTAAAAGGTGTAAATTGTCAGCTGCTGTACCAGATTTCACTTAGTCCTCATAACCTTCATGTGGTGAGAAAGGAAACTAGGCAAAGAAAGGCCAAGGGACTGGTCAGGGACTCAGGTTGTTGCTTCAAGAATCACATCTAGAACTTAGTTCTCTTTGAGCCCAAGCACAAGGCTGCTTCCCTTCCTGGTCACTCTGTGATTGTCCACTCCTACCCCTCTCCTTGCAGAATGGCAGGGCCAAGGTGAGTTGCTGAAGGAGGTCCGACAGGTTGCTTAAGATGTTATTTCCCTTCAGTTAGTTAATAGGAGCAAGTGTGGCATAAAGGGCCTTAGAGTCTTTTTTTTCTTTTAAGATTTACTTAATTTTATTTTTATTTGAAAGGCAAATTTACAGAGAAAGAGAGACAGACTTTTTCCATCTGCTGGTTCCCTCCCCAAGTGGCCACCAACACCGAAACAGAAAGGCAGGAGCCAGGAGCTAGGAGCTTCTTCCTGGTCTCCCAAATGGGTGCAGCAATCCCAAGGACTTGGGCTATCCTGCACTGCTGCTTGCCCACTCTATAAGCAGGGAGCTGGATTAGAAATGGAGCAGCTAGAACATCTGATTTTCAATGATCAGGGTAGTTGTAGTAGGAAAAAACAAGAGTAAATATGGTGCAGTTCCAGTTTCTTAACAATGTGTTAGAGCATAGGAGAAAAGCCCACACTAGCCATGAAACTGTTAGCAGTAGCAGGCAGAAACGTAAAGAATGGTTACTTTCTGTTGTGTAATTCCATAATGTTTGAAGCTTTAATGATAAGCATATCCTACTTTTGCAATTAGAGGCAAATGTGTGGTTATGAAGACTCTAAGAAAAAATTTTCCCAGCAAATAAACAAAAGTCTAGTGCTTTTGAAGCTTTACCAGCAAACCAGACAACACCAGAAGTGCTCATCTACCACCTCCTGGGGATCCTGGATTCCAAGAGATTCAGAGATGGGGTAATATGGAATAGAATACTGATCAGGATTTACTTGGGAAATGCAAATACAGCACATAAGATCTGACTCTGCAACTTAGTGCACATAGTCAATGCAGTGCTCATATTCTTTATTACAAATGGGTGTTAGACTCTGATCTTTGAGACACATATTTCACATATTGTGATTCAAGTCATTATGGGCAGAGTCTGAAAATACACAGGAGAACAGGAAAGGAGAGAAGAGCATCAGGAAGGAGCTGTCAGGAAAAGCCCCTTGCCAACGTGGGTGAGGAGGACATCTTCAGGCTGGGTAAAAGTAGGCTTGAGTAAGTCAGGTAAGTTCCAGAAACTTGTTGCGGAATCGCTGGAAATGAGATTAAACTGAGAGGACCCAGCACAATGACCCAATTAGTAAATTCTCATCTTACAAGTGCCAGGATTCCATATGGCTACCGGTTCATGTCCCGGCTGCTTCACTTCCATCCAGCTCCCTACTTACGCCTGGGAAAGTAGAGGTTGGCCCAATGCCTTGGGACCCTATGCCCACATGAGAGACCCAGAGGAAGCTTCTGGCTCCTGGATTTGGATCAGCTCAGCTCCAGTCATTGCAGCCATTTGGGGAGTGAACCAGCAGACATATTTTTCTCTCTGTAGATCTGTCTTTCCAATAAAAATAAATAATTTTTTTTTAAAATCCTGAGAAATAATAATTGGTGGAAGAACTTTAAAAGATCAAGGAACTTTAAAGTTTGCATAAGGTAGGAAGAAAAGTCAGGCTAATTTGTTTGGATTTTAGATAGGTAACAGGAATTCTACCACAGAATTTTAGCAAAGAAATAATGCAGTGGTGTTTGAGAAAGATCAGCCCATCCCTTTTTGTGCAGGAGGCCGAGACCCACCACTAGGCTCTGTGACAGTTGCTAAACCAGTGGGATTTACTAGTTCACAGCAGCTGTTCTCAGCACTCTAGTGGTCATTAGTTTCGAAAAGTATGTTTAGGTGTAGGGTCACTGTTTAGTCCACTTGGAAAAATAGCCCCCAGTTCAGCTGTCCCACATGCTCTTCTTGTGTTGGCCGATCATCCCTTCTACTCCCTCAGGCCTTTTGCAAACAGGAAGAGAACATTTTCTCTTACTTCCCATCTTCATATGTCATGTGACCAGGCTGTGTGACTGCTCTGCCCCACCCAGCAGCAGTCGACTTCCTGCAAGTAGAAATCATTTCATCTGTGGTCTGAGATTTGCAGGTGGTGGGGAGAGGCCAGTGTTTACTGGCTCAGTGGCTCTGTTCGTGAATGCTGTGCTGTTACTAAACAGACTTCACTGAGCTGAATGCTCAGAACTCTGTAACTTCTCATCTCTACAACTGGAATCTCTCCCCCAGGGTACAGATCAAAGCCCAAAGCCTTTAATTATTGGCCCAGAGGAAGATTATGACCCGGGTTATTTCAACAACGAGGTAACAGTTTCCTGGTTTTTCCTTTCATCATTCTCCGGTCCCACAAGCTGCTCTTGACTAGAAGCGGTGTAACTAGCACCAGCTGGGGGAGGGAGCCTCGTATCAATCCTGGAAGGTGGATAGCATGGGAGCTAAGCAGGAACTGACTGTGCTGCTGTGCCCTGCCTGCACGCCTCCCGGCCACACTCACCCTTTTGCTTTCCAGAGTGATACCATATTCCAGGATCTTGAGAAACTGAAGTCACATCCAGCTCACCTTGGGGTTTTTCTACGTTACATCTTTTCTCAGGCAGACCCCAGTCCACTGGTAAGTCAGAAATGTCATTCTGGTCCTTTCCCTGCTTGATGTTACACATCAGACCTGTGGGCACAGGCTGGCATCTTAAGAACCGAGACAAAATAGGAAACAGGATGGAACTCAGAGGAATTCTTCTCCGTATGTTACACAGTCATCTCCTTCAGTAACCAGAAGGAAAGCAGAAGAGCCAGACCAGGAAAATTATCAGCATAAAGGTGAACTTTTCTGGGATTTTCTGAGTGAAGGTGGCTGCAGAGTAGGGAATCAGCCCTTGAAAATATACAGAGTAACTGCAAGAAAGCTCAGCACAGAGCAAGACTGTAAGAGGTCCCAGTTTATAGGTGATGACAAGAAAGAATGTGAGGGGGTGGAAACCGGAGTACCCTTGGCAGTACTCAGAGCCATACATTCTACTTAGCTGTTTAAAAAAAGGAAGAAGGGAAAAGGGAAATTTAAAAAAAGGCTGTGGTGTAGTTTTCAAAATAAACTTCATGCCCCAGGCATGCAATGCTCTACCACTATTAGATGCCAGAATGAACTTGTTCAACAGGTATTTGTTGAACACCTGTGTTTAAGTCCCAATTGCTAGGATCTCAGAAACATTCCTGAGTAAAGACATGACATGTCATTAAGAAAAATAAAGCATGAACCCGTGGAAATCAATAGATGAACAGGTCACTGGTAAGATTAAACAAGTGAAGGAGCCAGTCAAGGAATGAGGGCTGGGGAAAGGGCTAGGGCTTTTCTCACCACAGGTGTCTGAAACATTCCAAGCAGGCATTGTCAGCCTCAGCATTGTTGGCATTTTAGGTCAGATTATTCAGTTGTGGTAGATAGTACTTAGCATTTTGGGTGTTGAGTGTATTCGAGGACTTTGGCCATTAGATGCCAGTACTTCTTAGTAGTCATGATGCCTAAAAAGTGTCTCCTCAGAGTCAGAATCACCCCTGGTTGAGAACCACTGCTCTAACTAGTTGCTCTCTTTCCCTAGCTTTTTTACTTGTGTGCAGAAGTGTATCAGAAGACATACCCCAAGGATTCCCGAAGTTTGGGAAAAGACATCTGGAGTATCTTCCTGGAGAAAAATGCGGTAAGGCAGTCATAGAATGAGTTACGATTTTACTGTACTTTTTGGACCTCTTGGAGACAAAGGAAAACTAAGCAAAACGTTTAGGCCACATGGAGAAGAAAAATCTTGGTTCAGGGATTAAGATTTCCTGGACTGTATTTCTAGCTGTGCTTTTTCTATACACATTGCTTTTCTACAAAATGGAGAAAGAAAGGGATTGTCCCCAAATCTATTTGCTCTCTCCTGAAGAACCAATGCCATGGTTTCCCGCATCCTTCCCTGCCTTGCCCATCCCTAGGATGAAGAAAAGCAGGCTCAGAGACATCAGAGGATCCGGATGAGTGTGTGGATGGAGCACCCAGGTGTCTGAAGTTCTGCCTGACTTAACTGCGTAGAGGCAGGAGTCAGACATGGGAAGACCCCCATGGTGCCTGGAACAGGTGCACACTTGGTGTTGTCTGGAACTTGGTGTTCCCAAGTGTTTCCAGAATTTTGTTGGCAAGAGTGCTCCTGCAAAGCTGTAGCAGCAGTTCCTTCCTTGGCTTCCCGATCTGATCAACTAAACTAAAATTCCAAATGGCTTTTTTTTTTCTGGTGGTGAGTTATTAGAGCTAGTGAGATTGGGGAAAACTGATTTGCCTCAAGATTTTTGTATTAAATAGGGCTTGAGTACAGATGTAGAGCTGCCAGTTCTCTGTTTTAGAGCCCCAGGGGTCAGGGCCTTAGAAGGCAAAAGCCAGAACACCAGATTAATTGTGAGACTAGGTGACATTAAAGCTGCTTTCTTTTTGGTAATAAAGAGGAGGGAGAGCCCATCAGATAGCCTGGTAAAGGTTTCTCCCTTCCTGCTAAATTATCACCTGCCCACTTTTTGGAAAAGCATGTCTATTCTTTAGTCTCTGATCTAGAAATAAGAGTGGAAAACCTCACTGGCAGGCCCAACTTTTCTTTTACTAAGATTTATTTATTTTTACTGGAAAGGCATATTTGCCAAGAAGAGAGACAGAAAGATCTTATGTCCACTGGTTCACTCCCCAAGTGGCCACAGTGGCTGAAACTGAGCTGAACCAAAGCCAGGAGCCTGGAGCTTCTTCTGGGTCTCCCACACAGGTGCAGGGTCCCCAGGCTTTAGGCCATCCTGTACTGCTTTCCCAGACCACAGACCAGGAGCTAGAAGGGAAATGAAGCAGTTGGGACATGAACAAATGCCCATATATGCTCCTGGCACATGCAAGGCGGGGACTTTTCCTGTCCCAACTTTTCCTGTAGCTTTATGTTTTATTTCCCATAAACTTTGGCCTAGAGTTTAGATATACACTGATGAAAGGAGGGTGGGTAGATGTTGGCAAAAAAGGACATAACAGTGGCTGCTAATCCCTCCTCTCTGTCTGTTTCCCTCGAGGGTATGCCCTCATCATTTCTGCCCTACTCTTCTATCTTCTAGCCTCTGAGAGTGAAGATCCCTGAGATGTTACAGGCTGAAATTGGTAAGTTTGCTCACTGGCAAGTAAGTCTTCTGGTGTTGTCCTTCTTGTCCTGAGCTCTCAGAATCCTCCAGATGACAGAAGGGACACAGCCCCTGTCCTTGGGCAAGTATCCTCCATAGGACATTTCCTCCAGAAATTTGCATAATAGCTTATAGGCAAGCACAAGTGGGGCAGAGCCTGACTGGGAAGTCACTCTGCTTGGTGGAGTTTGTCATGGGAAGGCCTCAGAGTTTGTCATGAGAAGGCCTGGGCTCATTTCCACAACTTTTTACATGATCTTTCCAGACCTCATTTGCCTCATTTATCCAAGAGGCACTTGGGCTCAATCAGGGGTTTCTAAGAGCCAGATCAATCACCAGATTCTCTTAGGAATCTCTCAATTTTCACACCTGATAGGTATGAAAAACCAGGACGTCACACTATCCTACCTCAAATTCTGACTTCCTGGAATGTTGTTAGCGTTGAGGTGGAGTTATAAGTTCCTTAACAGATACTGATGGCAGCTGGTCTGGAGTGAGGACCTGGTAAACTGGGTGACTCTGGAGCTCCTTCAAATCCTAATCAAGACAGGGGAAGAGAATTTAGCTACCTGCCCAGGAACTTTTCAGGGGCTTCTCAGGGAGGAGAACGTGTGGGCACAAGTCATAGGGTGAACAGAACTTGCTGCTCCCAGCAGCTGGTTCTCACCTGGGTGAAGCTAAATGTCATCAGAAGGGATACACCTTGCTTTCTGCTGGAGAGTTGATGTTTCATGGAATGTGAAGTGCTTACCTTTGTGATCCTTGTGAGCTGGCCATGGTGGGTGCGATGGAATGAACCCTCTCCATTGGAGGGCTGCACTTTGGTGTCACAGGACAATGTATCTGAGCATATCTAATGAGAGTGGCATTAACTCCTCTTAGTAGAGGAAGAACAGGACATGTTTTTTCCTTAACACGGACTTTGGACTTCAGGTATCCAATCCTGAATTCAGACCTTCACTTCTTTTAGGCTAACTAGGGACAGAAAGCCAGTGTATCCTTCCTGGCACCCCATCCATTCTTTCCCTTGACTCCCACTACAGATTTACGCCTGCGCAACAGTGAGGACATCCGCAGTGCCCTCTCTGATGCCCAAGCAGCAACCATGCCAGAGATCCAGGAGCAAATCCATGACTACAGGTTTGCGAGGCTCCTCATTACACTCTGTCCTTGCACCTCCACCTCCTGCCCCTTCTTGATCCCTGTGTGTGTGTATATGTTTGCCTCATCCCTTTTGGGTGCGCATCTGAGGAGAGCTTGTGTACATTTGTTCTTTTCTGTGTGTCTGGCTTAGAACAAAACGCACTCTGGGACTGGGCAGCCTATATGGTGAAAATGACCTGCTGGACCTGAATGGGGACCCTTGCCGAGAGAATCAAGTGGCCGAGAAGCAACTGGCTGCCCTTGGGGATATTCTGTGAGTCTTCAGAGCCCCTGCTCCCTGCGCATGGATTGTTGACATGGTTTGGGGTTTCTTTTCTAATTTCACTCTAGCACTTCTTGCCTGATTGTCCTTCCCCTGATGCATTTCTGAAGCAGAGGTCTACCCATATGCATGGGGTTACCAAGCCTGGGACCCCCCCCACTATAATTCAGTGACCTTGACAAGCCTTGCCCTTCAGGAATGTGATGAGCTCTCTGCCTCTTTCTAGCCCTCTTCCCAAACATCTACCCTTCTTGCCTCTGAGATCATGTCTGCTGTGAGAGCAGTGCTGTGTGTCTCTGGTGGATAAAGTCCTTTAGAATTAGCTGAAGACAGTGGAATCATGTTTTTATTAATTATATCAGAAACTTACAGTTACTTATTAAAAAGATGCAGGAACCCCTGTTATACTCTTCTAGACCCATTTGCTTAATGTCCAGAATGCCTGTGTTGCAGTTCCCAACATGACAGGCTTTCTGGGGACATTTCCAGGCTTAGCAGTTTTTTGTCTCTGTACTGTTTCTCACTAAGTAAGGATGTGACCTTGGCCAAGCCATTTGATCTCACTGGACCTCATCTGTAGAGTAGTCAAAGTTGGACTGGATGAGCTCTACAGCCTCCATGAATGCTGCTGCTGCTTCAACCTCATGGCACCACTGTTGGGTACCAAGCACTACTCTACCTTCAGCATTTTTTGGGTGCAGTGGTGAATGAAACAGCCCTGATCCTGACTGAGCATACCTTGTAATGGAAACAGCAGTGCTTCACACAAATGGAATGGGGTAGTATGTTAGCACTTAAGTGTTGGTAAAGAAAGTAGAGCCAGCAAGGAGAACCAGGAGAACAGAGCCCATGGATTGCAAATCTAACCAGGGTGGTTGAGCAAACCATGGGGAAAGGGAACCTGATACATTCAGAGGGAACAAGAGAGCAACTCTGTGGAGCCTTGTGGACAACCACTCCCACTCTGGGTTTTGCTCTTGGAAAGGGAACCATTGGAACTGCACTAGACTAGACCAGGCCCTGAGCAAGATAGTGATGGAAGATTCCAAACAGGGAGGTCCGCTTAGCAGCTCCACAGGAAAACATGTTAAAGAAAGCTCCTCAGAGTGGGAGAGGCAATGGGAGCTCTGAGATAAGAGGTATATTTTGATGATAGAGTCACCATGACTGTGGAGTTTGACTAAAAGAGCAAGGAAGTTCCCAGGGATTTTTCTTTTTACCTATACAACTGAAGGGGATGAAGATACCAACACTCAGTTTAGGGACAATTGCCTGGACAACGGTTTTGAGGTAGAAAATCATGGCCCTGTTTTGGACATGTTAAATAGAATGCCGAGTAGGTGCTGCATACATGAATCTGACATTTAAGGACATCTGGGCTAGGAATGAGACAGATGTCATCACACAGAGCAGGGATGCTTTGCAAACTTAACCTTCTGACCTTCAGTGAAACCCTGAATCTTTCTGGGCTTTAATATCCTGAATAGTCAGATGTCATCAACCGCCTCAGCTAATTCCGGGGATGGAGGCAGGGCCTTACCGAGCCTATTTTTACATTAGTTGGGTTCATATATGCATGATCCTGACCCATGGTGAACACTCAAAGATTAGTTGCTATATACATTTATCTCTTCTAAAAAGGTTTCTTTGGATTTAATCTCAAGGTATTGTTACTTCCTTCTCATCTTCTCTCCTCCTGCCTCAATATTGCTATAGCCCTTCTTTCTAGATTTTTTTTCTTTAATGTTTGTTCATTTATCTGAAAGGCATAGTAATAGAGAGACAGAAATGGCAGAAAAACAGACAGCTTCTAACCACTGATTTGCTCCACAGTTGCGTTAGGGCTAGACTGAAGCCAGGAGCCAGGAATTCCATCCAAGTTTTCTAGGTGGGTGACAGGGACTCAAGTACTTGAATCATTGTCTGCTGCCTCCCAGGTGGATTCATCAGGAAGCTGATTCAGAAGCAGAGTAGTCAGATCTTGAACCAGACCCTCCAGTATAAGATGCAAGTGCCCCGAACAGCAATTTAACCCATTGTGTCACAACACCAACCCCCTACAACAACCCTTGTAATGGTACTAGGCAGATACAAAAGGGAACCTCTTTCTCCAAAATCTCAGACAGCAAAAAACATATAACAAGCTAGAGGCTTGTATTACCACATTCCTCTTTCGTTTCACTAGAAAGACATCATTGTCATAATCATGTCATTATTACTCTGTGCCATTAGCACCCCTTGAGGGAATAACTGTCACCCACTGAGCCCCAAGCTGGTTCTGTGGCTGTGAGCAAGAGTCTGGCCTTTTATCATACTTCTCCCTTCCTCTTTCCAACCTTCTCCTTTCCTCTGAGAAAGAGTTTACCCACCTCCCAGACTCTGCCCAGGCCATAAGCCTCTGTCTTTGCAGTCTGAGTCATCTGTTCTTTCTTTTGTTCCAGGTCCAAATACGAGGAAGACAGAAGGTGAGTGCATGGTGTGGTTCATTTATAGCTTTCAAGGTGGGAAGGAAGGGACCCGGCTGCTGTGCTTTCCATCTCTGCCTGTTTCAGGGAGTCCGTAGGATTCTAGGACCATCTAGGAGAATTGATCTGTACAAGTTTTGTTCCCAGGTGACTGTAATCCTTGCACATGGGTGTCATGATCCAAACCCCTGATGCTCAAGGGTCATTGGGGGTGTGGGTGGTTTCTAATTCCCATACCTGCTTCCTCGTTTCCACAGAAATCAGCCCAGTGGCTTCCTTACCACCTATTTCCTTCAGCCATTTAAAAAAAAATACAAGTTGTAGTTTTATCTGTCTGGATTAAGAGCAACTGTACAAGAGAACTGGGTGCAACAAGCTCCCTTTTTTGGCATGTGTTAGGATATTTTCTGCAGCCTTAAATAAAGATGCTTCAGAAAATTCATAAGAAATTAGAATTAGAAGGTGAGTTTGTTTTGTTGAGCAATATGTTAAAATTCATACTTTTTTCATAAACTTCCTAAGACCCCGGTGCATGGACTTCAAAAATTTTTGCACAAAAGTAAACTTGCCTTTAAATTATATTTTCAACAAACTTTTTGAAGTACCCTCTTTCATATGTCATTGCTTCTCATAAGCCTGTGTTAAAATGATTCTGCATGCCCCAAATACACACGCACACACACACACACACACACACACACAAAGATGGCAGTTGTCTGTTTAAGAAGGCAGTGAAGCCAGCACTGGCTAGAGGTTTGCTGCTTTGAATCTACAAAGTGGATAATCTGCCTACCAGATTGCAGACCAAATACATTTCCAAACACAGAGCTCTGGACAGTTTCATTTGTGGCAATTGGAAGCTACTTGACAGTTCCTTTCCAGCAGGATACCTTAGCAGAGGCTAAGTGACGTTTCTTCCTTCCCCTTGCACCACCCTGACATCAGTACTCAGGAGATCTGCAGACGTCAACCAATCCTCTAGTGTTGCCTATGCCTTGACTAGCAGAGAATTATTTGCTTACATTTTAGGAAAATGGCCTATTTTTCCACTAACCATCACACCCTCACTGGGAAGTTTCTACTTAGAGAAAGAATAAGAATTCTCCTGGGAGTCTTGCCAGTTTCTTCTTCATGCCGTCTCATTTGATTATCCCAGACTTCCATTTGAATACCTTGCCCATTACTACTACTTCCCCCCTTCACTGGATTGCTGTGGGGAGATTGTCTAGAGCAGGGATTTTATTTGGCCCTTCTCCCTGTTACCAGGAAGCAGAATTTTAGCTTTCTGATTCACAGCGTGGTTCTTCTCTTGCAGTGCCCCCATGGACTTTGCCGTCAACACCTACATGAGCCATGCTGGAATCCGTCTCCGAGAGGCCCGACCCTCCAGCACGGCAGAAAAGGCCCAGGCTGCTCCTGACAAGGACAAGTGGCTCCCCTTCTTCCCTAAGGCCAAGAAGGTGACAACTGCCCTAAAACCCAGCTGCTCTTGTACCGTTCTCTGTGCTGAGTTAGACTAGAAGCCGTTTTTCAGTTAATAGTACCATCATTCTACCTTTGGATATGGGAGAGGTGAGAACCCTCAAACTAGAGTAGCTCTCTGTCCATTCTTCCAAAGCTGGCCAAAGGTAAATGTGCTTTTTAGGGTATAAACATGAGGCAGCTTTCTAGTTTGGTGCCAGTGATGGAGTGATTAGCAACCACATCTGGATATTGAGGCCTCGTACAAATCCAGTGTCTCTTGTCTCAGCAGAGCAGCAACTCCAAGAAAGAAAAGGATACCTTGGAAGACAAGAAGCGAAACCCCATCCTCAAGTACATTGGGAAGCCCAAAAGCTCTTCCCAGAGCAGTGAGTATATGGGGAGCAGCAGCCTTGGACATACCAGCGTGTTTGTTGGTGGAGGGCCTTCCTATGCTTCTGGGAGCCCTGGGCCCCAACTCTAAGACTGCAGCTTCCTCTCACCACTGCCGCTGTCTGTCCTGCCACATCTAGTGCAGGCTCTGAAGTACAAGTTAGTGTTTGAGCCAGAGCGGCCTTGCCAGTCTCTGGGTCTTAGTCTAGGAACTCAGAGCCAGTAATAGACTCTGAACATCCAAGTGAAGGAACATTGCCCCCATTGATCCCATTGAAAGTAAATGCCTACTTTACTTTCATCCATTGTACGCAGCATGTAGGCCTGTAGTCGGTGCTTTGGGAGCAATCCCAGACCCTGGATTAGGGATTTGAGTGATTTTCAAGTGGAAGTAGGGGAGGGCAGCAAGTTTGGGAGCCATCAGTTTCCCTAATGTTATCAATAACCTAAAACTCACTTGACATTCCCACTAATCTCTTCCCAGCTGTGTCAAGTGTCTGTAAATTGTTGCTCTTTTCCCCAACCCCAGCCAATATATTAAATCCCTGGTATCAGTGGGAGCATGGTGTGGACATGCTGACTTTCTGAAATTGCTCTTGTAGGGGAGACGGAAGGGAGGGACCCTGCTAGATCCACCTTGATTTTGGTCACTACCTTTTCATTTTCCAGATTAATGTAATTTTTATTTTGACTCTTGAAATATTAATTTGACTTTTCATGGTTTACTTTTGTTTTTGTTTGTTTTTCTTTTAGCATTTCATATTCCTTTGTCCCCTGTGGAAGGTAAAAGGACCATTTTCTTTGGATTTGTCTTTGCATTAGCATTGAGTTTTCATCTCCAAAACTTTTCTTTTCCCTTCCCTTTCTCCTGTCCTATTCCTTTCCTCCCTCCCTCTCTGTGTGTTCCTCCCTGTTGCAAAAGCTGCTCTGTGTCACAAACCTGTGTCCAGGGGGGCTTCTGCCCTCATGCTTGGGTATAAGACCTTGCCAGCCTAACCCAAGGTTTTGAGGAACAGAGACCTTCCTATCCTAGATAGGCCTTCCTAGGGGTTCTGGTAAGAACCCTTTAGCTAGCCATCTAGCAGGTGTTTTGGTTCTTGTTTTGTTTTGTTTCTTAATAGTCTGAGGCCTCTTCTCCTAAGTTGTGTGGCCTCTCTAGAAATGAGGTTTTGGAGGCAAGGGTTCTGCATCTGTGAAGGGACCCCCTCACCAGCTGAAGTATCCTATAGAGAAGTAGCTCAAATTTTCATTTTCAGTTGAAATTATTTGTGAAGGTAATTTTTCTTCTAGTAAATTATGGGTCTCTCACAGTTTTTCTCTTGGGTATTTTTTATTTGTTAATATCGTCTACTTTGCTGAAGCCCCTCAACGTGGCTTTCTTCTCCTTTGACTTTCACCTGCCAATGTTGTATGGCTATAGCAGGTAATAGAATGACTAAAGCACGCCATGAGAATCTAATACGTTCTGGAATCTATGGATTCAAAACATGAATATAGTATCCATTGACCCACAGAAGTTGGAGATTGAAATGTCCCAGATTTAGAAGGTTCATTTCCCATCAATGAGTTTATATATGTGTAATTAAGTGAGTGATGTTTTGGGGTGCATTCCAATAAATACAGAGAGAGCAATGAGGTACAATAGGAAATCATTCTGTTACTAGGATTTATTTTATGTAGACAATACTTCTAGACTCGTGCCATTAAAAATTTTTTTTTTTAAATTTTTTGAACAAATGATCCCTATTCCCCTAACACTTAGCATCTTACTTCTTGTCCACCCTCCCCGGGAAGACCTGAGGCCAAGGCAGGCCTCCAAGGCTGAGCAGCTCTCTTCAGCTTGAGAAGGCTAGAAGCACCCAGGGCAGAGGCGTGCTAACTGCTGCCAGGGCACAGTAAGGATGCTAGATACAGCAACTCTTTGAGTCAGATTTTTCCATTGTAATTGTTTAGATTGGTGTTCTCAATTTTCCACAACAGCAGCAAAATTCATATCTAAAGATCAAACATTTGCCAAAGCTAGAAAACCTTAACATTGAAAGTTTGGCCTTTTCGGATTGGTAGCTGTTACCTGTGTGTTAGTGAGGTATCCGATTGATAATAGCATATAGTTCACTTTTATTTAGTTCCATTGTCATTCATAGACTAAAATAGAACAAAGACTGTTAGTGAAACTTCACTCTTGGAAAATATGCTCCCTTTTGCCTATTTTCCCCATTACTTTGGGTCATTCTGTTGAACTAGATCTTAGTACTATGTCTTCCTGTAGCTAAGCTAGAACTATGTAAATACTGTTGGGCATTTTCCACATGGCCAAAAGAAAAGGAACAGCAGACTCAGTTTGATGACTTTCAATAATAGAATGCTCCCAGGCTCTCACATTGTCACCCAGCCAGGATAGCTTGGGACTGTGGCTGCACAGCTGAGCCTGGTGTCTGCCATAGCTCCATGGCCCAGAGGTCCATTCAGTGCAGGCAAGCAGATCTAGTTCTAATGTCCAGAATGAAGCTGATGGGAGCCCAACTCCTGAAACATGCATAGAAACTCTGGTGTAGTTTAAGCAAAACATTACTTTGGCCTCCTCAGAGATGTGGAAATGTAAACTTTGAGGAGAGCAGATAACATTTTTCAGTTCTTCCAGCTTAGACTGTTTTGAAAGGCAGGTTTCGGGACAGGGAGGTTTGTAGGTTTCTGTATGTGGATAACAGAGTCTGTAAAGCCGCTGCAGACTTTGTTGGTGCGGCTTAGGTAAGGACCTAGAACCTCCCCAGTTCCCGCTGGTCCCAGGCAAAGCAGTATTTCTGGCCCAGCCCCTGTTCTAACATAGCTGGACTCAGAGATGAGCTAGGTGAATTAAGATGAACCAATCTCCCTTTGTCATGCTGAAAGCTGTGGAAACCCGAGGTCTGGGTTCTCTTCTCAGCATCTCTAAGCTATACCATCTGTGCCTTTGCTCTTTGAATTTCTCTTCTCTTTGAACAAGAAGAGCTGTCTTCATTTTCAAAAAGTGTCTGGAATTTGGCAGAGTGACATCTGCTCTGTTGCTCCTCCATTCCCCTCACTGGTATAAAGGGTTTGCTTCTTTATTGATGGACACCTGAGGGGTTAGAAAGATCAGGAAGGAGAATCAGGGAAAAACCAAACTAATGAACTCTAAAAATAATAGAAACTTGAACAAGTCTGATTTGACAACACACCAGTTGTTGTTCTTTAATTATTTTAGCTAGTACATGGCTCTTAAAAACCTAATCATGTTTCTGTGAGCAGAAATATCATTTAATAAAGATCATAATATCCAAAAAATAGTTCCATGGAAAATGGGCTTCAAAATCTTTCAGTTTTGCACATGAGGAAGAAGTGGACATAGGATGGTAGAGTGGCCATCCAAGGCCACACAGCACAGTCGTAGAAGGGCCAGGACAGGACCAGATCCATGCCGCTTGATTTTCCTGCTGTTCTCATCCATGCTTGCTTATTGCTCTGTCTTCTGGGCTAGCGGGGAGTAAGGGCTGGAAAAGCGATCCCTGAACAGAAGGCATAGTACCCTTCATTTCCTTCTTGCCTCCAGTCAAACCAGGCAATGTGAGAAACATCATTCAACACTTTGAGAACAGCCAGCAGTATGACGCCCCAGAACCCGGGACACAGCGACTCTCCACAGGAAGCTTTCCTGAGGACCTGCTGGAAAGCGACAGGTAGCAGTGACTGGGTAGGGCTTGCCAGCTGCTTGGGGAGAAGAACATGGACAGAGTTTGGTGCTAGGGACTCTTTCTGGCCACTTTACCTTCCCTGCTAAACAATATAGCTCTCACTTAATAGAACTATCTCCCCAGCTGCCCACCCTTGATGCCTCAGAAGACACCCTCATCATGTATTGGAAATGAGGCCAATGGAAGAGCAAGAGGATAGGCTTTTACAGTTTTCTTTGGATTTAGTCCTATTACTAACCTGCATCTCAAAATTGAACTAAATTATATTATAAGGCAACTGAAAAAGAAACCCTAAAGGACAGGGATTAAGGAAAGTCTAAAGGGGAACAGAGAGAAGTCCTAGAAAATAAGAGTTAATAGATGAGGCAGTGTCTATAAGCTCCAGGTATACCCAACAGATACAAAATTGATGGACTCATAACAAACTTCCTTCCCTTCTCAGGAGGAAAGGGAAGTTGAATCTGTTTATGTCTGGTCAGGTTCTTTTTCTGAGATATATTTAAATTGATCTTACATCCATTGGTTCAGTCCCAAAATGGCCATAATAGCTGAGGCTAGGCCAGGCTAAAGCTGTGGGCCCAAACAATTAGCCATCTTGTATTCTTTATTAAGCACGTTAGCAGGAAGCCTGATTTTTTTTTTGAAAGATTTATTTATTTTTCTATCGCAAGGTCAGATATACTGAGAGAAGGAGAGACAGAGAGGAAGATCTTCCGTCCGATAATTCACTCCCAAGTGAGCGCAATAGCCAAGTGCTGAGCCAATTCAAAGCCAAGAGCCCAGGACCTCTTCCAGGTCTCCAGAACAGGTGCAGGGTCCCAAGGCTTTGAGCTGTCCTCGACTGCTTCCCCAGGCCACAAGCAGGAAACTGGATGGGAAGCGGGGCTGCCAGAATTAGAACTGGCACCCATATGGGATCCCGGCACATTCAAGGCGAGGAATTAAGCCACTAGGCTACACCGCCAGGCCTAGGAGCTGGATTTTAAATGAAGCAACCAAAACAAACTGGTGCTCATATGTGATGCCAGCACTGTAGGCCGTGACTTAAGCCGTAGTGTGACAGCATCAAACCCATCTTGTTAGGCTCTGACTGGAATCCTTGCTGGTATTACAACACACTTTTGAGTTTCTTTGCTTGACTGTGAATGTGACACAGTGATAATCAAGTCATGTTTTGAATTCTGCAGCCTACATTTTAATGTAAAGATTGTTGATAGTCAAAACATCCTTCAGGTCACTCTGGAGGAATAATAGTGTGATATTGCATAGGAAAATAATTCTTGTATAACTTGAACTCCAAAAGCCCCTGAGGCAGCACGAGCAAGTCATTATGTAGCAGCCTGGGTAGATGTTGCAGCCATTTTACCTTTGAAATAACTGTCAAACTCTAGGTTAGATGCTCCTACTTGAATTCATGTTCATTCCTCTATTTATATTAAGGCTTTATGTTAAAAAAGAACTGGCCTTAGTGAGAACTGACAGATTTAGGGGCAGTAAGTTAGATTTGTACTGTGGGGAGAGATGGAGTTCTAAATCGGTGGGTAGAGTAAATACACAAATTACATGATTGTTGCAGTAGTCATAGTCTTACAGTGAATATTTTAAAATTATAAGACATCATTAACATTTTGAGAAAATATTCAAGATCATTAACCTAATTGCACTCTTGGCATTGTAAGTTAGATTTGCCCAAAGACATTCACCAGATCTTCATACTACTTTCAGCAGAAGACTTAGATTTGATCATATAAACTCGTGGATTATCTTGGGATAAATAGTATTAGTAGGGGCAAGCGTAGTGGTACAGCAGGTTAAGTCACTACTTGGAACTGCTACATTCCGTATCAGAGCTCTGATTTGAGTGCTAGAGAGCCGCCCCGATCCAGATCCAGCTTCCTTGCTAATGCATCCTGGAAGGCAGCAAATGATACTCAAATGCTTGGGCCCCTGTCTGTTTTGTGGGAGACCCAGCTGGAGTCCAGGCTCCTGGCTTCGGGCTAATCCAGATGTAGTTGTTGCCAGCATTTGGGGAGTAAACCAGGAGATGAAAGCTCTGTGTCTTTGTCTGATAACTCTGCCTTTAAATAGATTTTTTTAAAAAATCTTAAAAAATAGAGTTAACAGTATTATGGGTTAGAGGATGTAGACACTCCACAAATGTAAGATGATACCCTCAATTCTAGAAGGCAAAACCATAGGAATGCTTGCCCAGGGGTGGATCATTTGCATTACTTCTTGGTAGGGATCTTAACTGCCTTTGCACTTGAAGGACAGTTCTGCAGCCCCAGCAGCCCCCCACTGAGGAGGTTTGTCCTGGGGCTAAAGTGGTTCACTACAGAAACTGGTGAAAGTGTTTTAAATTAGCCTGGGTTGAAATTGTTTTAGCAGATTTCTAGGTAATGATAAGTTCAGTAGGGGGTCAGTCAGCATTATGCATTCTGACTCTGCTGGACAAACCCTCAGAATCTCAGGAAGTGTACTCCACTTTGGAGCCTCCGGTGTGGAGAGAGGTGATGAATGGAGATCAGGATGTCCGGCTCACTCACTGTAGCAGCTGCTGTGCTATTAAGACCTCCGCAGACATCTCTAGGCCTTCTGTTGTCCCTGAAGCAGAGCAGGATGTAGATTAGTAATAATGTCGGCAAAGAACCAGCACAGTAGGGCATGGCAGGGGGAAGAAGGGGGAGCCATCTCAGGGCAGCTAGAGGTCAGAGATGCCGTGTCTCAGGGCTGATGCACTGCCGGATGTGACCGAGAGCAACAGCAGTCATTACCAACTCATCAAGCCTCAGAAATGCTCAGTAAAGAAGCATGGCAGAGCCAGAGCATATCTAGCTCCTTTAAACATCCTCCCAAGCCTCCCAAATGGAAGCTTAGGGAGGGAGCTGTTCAGAATGGAAAAAATTCACATGGCGATGGGAGGAGTCGGAATGCAAGCACAATTCACATGGCGATGAGAAGAGTTGGAATCCAAACACAAGATAGAATTTTTGTAATGGCTCTGTAGATCCTAGAATGAGTATGTGAATGTAGGGACCATCCTTAACCTCTGAGAAGACCACGTAAGAGGAAAAAGTCCACCTCCAGCAGTCACACTGGAGCTGAACAGCGAGGACTACTGAGAACCTAGGTCCTTTCCTTCCCCTCTAAAAGGAATTCAGAAGCGTTGGAGAACAGAAGATGACGACCTTGATGAAAAAGTGAAGATACACACAGATACACACTGCACAAACTCAGTGAGGCCTGCTTGGAGGGGAATAGCCCCATCTCCAAACTGTTTTACATTACATGGCTTGAAAAGGAGAGGCACATTGTAATAAGGTGGAAGGATAGCCATAGTTTTTCTGAAAGTATGTGGATAGTCTCAAAATCTAGGTACTGTCCCTTTTTCACTCTATATGATCTGAGTTTCCTGTCAGGGTAGCTAGCAGGTGTGCCAGTTAACATGAGAATATGTAATGAGTAAGCATATAGTGAGCTATAGGTCAACCGAGGTCAGCCTTTGCTCCCAAAACCCATTTGAGCCTGATCTAGACAAGGAGTCTATTTACCTTCAGAGCAAGAGGAGCCAAACCTATGTTCCTGTGGATATTTAGATCATATTCCAGGCAGCTATACTGCTTCTTCCAGCTCCCTGTCTCAAAATTGAGGGACGTGACTGGTTCGTTCCAAAGTAGAGGCAAGACATATTGGCTACCAGAGGGCCCCAGGGACAGGGAGCTGGGGCCTATAGTCCTTAGTGGGGCCTGTGATAGCCACAGCTTGCCTGAAAGGAGTGTGGGGTTACAGGCCAAGATTTCATCTTCCTAATGGGACCCTTTCCCAACACGTCAAAGAGGAACGTGAGAGACCCTACCTACTAAGAGAGGGTGGGGGGAGGGAGCAATTTGTGGAGTGCCTTGTTGGCGTGCCTGGGTACAGCAACAGGAGTGGTTTGTCACTGAGACACTTCTACATTCTCTACATTTGGATTTCTTAGCACTGTAGGGGGTGGAGGGTGGAACCCACAGCAACGAGTCATCTTGAGAAAGGGCAGCAGATAAAGACCAGCCTGAATGTGTCCCTTTCTACAGCTCACGCTCAGAGATTCGCCTGGGCCGCTCTGAGAGCCTCAAGGGCCGGGAAGAGATGAAACGGTCTCGAAAAGCAGAGAATGTGCCCCGCTCTCGTAGTGATGTTGACATGGATGCTGCTGCAGAAGCTACCCGACTCCACCAGTCAGCCTCCTCTTCTGCCTCCAGCCTGTCCACCAGGTTAGCAGAGCTCAGGGGCCCCACCCTATGATGTCCTAGGGACAGACCAGGATAGGGGGTTGCTGAGAATTAATTTTCTCTCCACAGGTCTCTTGAGAACCCAACCCCTCCCTTCACCCCCAAAATGGGCCGCAGGTAAGTAATGGAACAGGGTCCCTCTGTTGACTATGTCTACATCCTGTTGGTACCTGGCTGCCCCTCCCACCACCGAGCAGCTGACTAAGAATGCCGCTCTGCCTCGGGGCCCATTGGCTTTGCGTGGGTAGAGGAGGGAGAGGTAGGCCTATGTGAGAGTTTTTCTCAGTGAAGCTGAGCTACCTGTTTTTCTTCAGGAGCATTGAGTCCCCCAACTTGGGGTTCTGCACCGATGTGCTCCTTCCCCATCTCCTCGAGGATGATCTGGGCCAGCTGTCTGACCTTGAGCCAGAGCCAGATGCCCAAAACTGGCAACATACAGTGGGCAAGGACGTGGTGGCTGGGCTGACCCAGAGGGAGATTGACCGGCAGGAAGTTATCAATGGTAAGAATATATTCCTTTCACACTTGTGTGGACACAGGTCTGGGATGCCACAGACATGGAGGGTGGGAGCCAAGTAAATAGGAGCAGTAAGTAAGTAACTAATAAATAGATAGATAGATAGAAGTAGTACAAAGTCCATGGGACCTGTTTCTGTAATTCTACTTCTGTGACCTTTGGTATAATCTGAAACCAGCACTCCAGGTCCTCCAAAAAGAGGATGATATGGGGACTAGGAGAGTGACTGGAGGTACTCACTTTTGTCCCTCTGTCACAACCACCACTCAGAGTTGTTTGTGACCGAAGCTTCCCACCTGCGCACACTCCGGGTTCTGGACCTCATCTTCTACCAACGTATGAAGAAGGAGAACCTGATGCCACGGGATGAGCTGGCCCGGCTCTTTCCTAACCTGCCTGAGCTCATAGAGATTCACAGTAAGGAGCCTGTGCTCTTCCAGCACCTCCCCTGCCAGCCTTCACCTTTCTGTTCCCATTTGACCCATCTGCCAGGGCCTCCCTGGGTAGATAACCCTGTCACCCCTCCTGGTGAAAGAAAAGTTAGTGGGCAACCTAAAACCACTAAAGTTTGTCCCAAAAATCAAATGGTTTCTAGACCCTTCCATGGAACTTTTGTCAAAGGTTTTTTTTTTTGTTTTTGTTTTTTTTTCTCACCACCACAAAGGTTCTGGCAATATAGCTCAATCCCAGACATTTCTCTATTTTTTCCCCTTATCCCAGATTCTTTGTGTGAAGCGATGAAGAGGCTCCGGGAGGAGGGTCCAATCATCCGAGGGATCAGTGATCTCATGCTGTCTCGGGTACGGTCCCAGCTTTGTCACTTGGCCCGTGGAGATTAGAGGAGGTGTGGTTCTATTACCCAAGACTAGGGAATTTAGCCTGGAAAAGGGTAAGTGGGGACTGGTCCCAGGCAGAAGTGTGATGCTTGGACTGGTGTTCATTCTGTCTCCTCAGTTTGATGGAGCTGCCCGAGAGGAGCTCCAGCAGGTGGCTGCACAGTTCTGTTCCTATCAGTCCATAGCCTTGGAACTGATCAAGACCAAGCAGCGCAAGGAGAGCCGGTTCCAGCTCTTCATGCAGGTGTGTCCTTGGCCTGCCTCAGCCTTCCCTCGTCTCCATCAACTTCACCTGAACTCCCTCCCTCTGGCCGAAAACATCTTCTGTCTGTAACAGCAGTTCTTCTATCATTTGCACCTTCCCCACATAAGCTCTCCCAAAGCATCGATACTCAAGGGCTGGAGATGTTCACAGAGAGAAGTGCTGGACCAGCATTCAGAAGGCTGGTTCACCCACCTGTGTGCACTTAGATGGAGCTCAGTGGCATTGTCTATAGAATAGCAATGATAACTGCCCTCTCTTTTGACCATATCCTTTTCTTGGGTGTTGTTGCCTTGAAACCACCAGCCTTAAGTATTTATGGAAAAAGTACCTTCACTGTTGATTAAATGCCCTGAATGGGGCTAGGACACATCTGCAATTTTCACATCCACCTTGGACCTGAGCCCTCAGGCCAGCTCCTAACTATAAGCTAAAGCCTTCCTTGGTTTGTCCCCCCTCTACCCACCTAGGAGGCTGAGAGCCACCCTCAGTGCCGAAGGCTGCAGCTTAGAGACCTTATCATCTCGGAGATGCAGCGGCTCACCAAGTACCCCCTGCTGCTGGAGAATGTCATCAAGCACACAGAGGGTAGGGACCTGGGGAGGGGCTCAAGTGGGTCACAACAGACCTCCTTTCAAAGGCCTCTGGCTCTTCTCTGTGACTATAGCCCCATGGGCCTCTGTGGTCTTCAGTGTCCTCATCCTTACCTTGTTATGTGCGTCAAGTGAAAAGCAATTGTATTTAGGCTTGGAACAGTGCAAGGTGCTCGGTAGGAGAAGTCAGGGTCACTGCTAGCTTCTGTGGGTCCTCTGCACATGAGGAAAGCACAACCTGGCTCTCAGCCACTCAGCTCCTGTGATGGGCATGGTCTCACACCTTGAGCTGCGAGCGAACTTCAGTCTCTGTGCAGTACACACAAGACAGGACCATAAGTGGTGAAAGTGAGAGGAGTGGGAATCAGGCTGACTGAGGGGTTGAACTGAGGCTGTTGCTGTCACAGGGCCCTGTGCTGTCCTAGGGCCCTGTGCTGCCCTCAAGTGTGTAACCGGGTCAGAGAGGTATGAGGAACCTCAACCTGTTTTGCACAGGTTATCCAAGAGGCACCATAATCCTTGCCCTGCCCCTGTCCCTGTTGCTGTTCCTCCAGCTGTACAGCTGGTTGTGACTAACCAGTGATCCCTAAGGATTCTCAGTATTGTCTGAGCAGTGCGGTGAAACCCAAGGGTGCTCAGCAGAAGTTAACTCTACCACTTAAGGTCCTCAGCTGGACAGCGGTGGCTGTCCTCTACCTCTGCCTGCTCGTTTAAGGCAAGACAGTTACCACTTATCTGAACAGGCAGGTAGTATCTGGCCCTGAGGTGGACTTCTCAGGTAGGAACCCCTAATAGTCAACTCTGCCATATTTGTAGGTGGCACCTCTGAGCATGAGAAGCTGTGCCGGGCTCGGGACCAGTGCCGGGAGATTCTCAAGTACGTGAATGAAGCAGTCAAGCAGACAGAGAACCGGCACCGTTTAGAGGGCTATCAGAAACGCCTGGATGCCACTGCCCTGGAGAGGGCCAACAACCCTCTGGCAGCAGAATTCAAGGTAGGCAGAGGCTGCAGCAGTTAACCCTTCACACACTTCCAGGGCACCCTAAGGAGAGTCTTGGAGATATGAGACATGGAGTGTCTGTAATAGGCTAGCGCATTCTGTATTAGCACCTCATTCCCAGAAAGACAGAGGCAGATAGCCCCACTGAGAAAGGCTAGGTGTCAGCACTCGGCCTGAAGGATAGGACTTGAAGCTAACTGAAAGATGCTTGGCAGAGAACAAAACTGGAAGGATGGGCCAGAAAATCAGTCTTGGGGAGGTCTGTGATGGAATGCCTGGGAGACCCAAGTCAGAGTCGCTGATATATTCCCAGCATAGTACAGGACACAGGACTTCCTCACTGCCTTTCTACTTTGTATCCCCCACCAATGTGGAAGGCCCAAGCTCTTATTCAAAGCCGATTCCAGCACCTTAGCACAATGTCTAGTGTAGGCAGTTCTCAAATGTTTGTTGAGTGAATGAGTGATGGTCTCTATTTAACAGAGCCTGGACCTTACAACCAGGAAGATGATTCATGAGGGACCTCTGACCTGGAGGATCAGCAAGGACAAGACCTTGGGTATGTATCCAGGGCTGTTAATGGGACAGGGTCTATGGAGGATGGGACCCAGATTCTTCCTTGAGCCTTGGGCCCTGATACTGTAATGAGATAAACAGTAAAGTGTCCAGAGAGAAAAGAGTTGGGTCACTAGGCTCTGGGGACAGGCCTCAGACAGCTGGTGCTCCCCACTGTACTGATGAGTGCTGAGTGGACAGCAGGGCCTGCCTACCACCACCCTCCAGACCTGCATGTGCTGCTCCTGGAGGACCTGCTGGTGCTGCTGCAGAAACAGGACGAAAAGCTGCTGCTGAAGTGCCACAGCAAGACTGCCGTGGGCTCCACGGATAGCAAACAGACTTTCAGCCCCGTGCTCAAGCTCAATGCCGTACTCATCCGCTCCGTGGCCACAGGTACCCTAGGTCTTTGGGTGTTCGTTCGGTTACTGTAACTTGTATCCATTGAGCATGGTTATGGAAACCAGCCTGGGGCCTTTTAGGACCCATGTCCACTTGGCTTCATTTCCCCCTGTCCTGACCCAGTCAAAACAAGAGGATGTCGTCTGAGATCCAGTGGAATGAGAGGAAAGTAGAGGAGGGATCAAGATGAAGATAGACAACCTGGAGTTGGGAAGGTAGTTTGTCGTCATCCCTCAAGGATAGTGCTGGCTTGGACAGTAGGTGGAAACACCCAGGAAGGCTAAGGATGTTGCAGGATTAGGCAGCAGTAGCAAGACAAGCCCTCTTGCTGTGAGTTTCCTGGGCAGAGCTTGGATATGAAGGGCTGCAGCACCCACAGTCCAGACTAAGTACAGCAGGCATAGGTGCTTCAGGGAAAGATAAGGGGGTCAGAAAGTGTGGTGGTTGGGAAAAACATTTTTACTAACCTGTACCACATGCATGTCAGCCATCACCATTTTTTGTTTTTTTGTTTTGTTTTGTTTTTCGTTTGGTTGGTTGGTTTTGTTTGGGGATTTTGTTTTATTTTGTTTTTTAACATTTATTTGTGGGCCTGGTTCTGTGTGTGGTCTGGCAAAGTAGCAGAGGATGGCCCAAAGCCTTGGGACCTTGCACCTGTGTGGGAGATTTGGGAGAAGCTCCTGGCTCCTGGCTCCTGGCTCCTGGCTTCGGATCGACTCAGCTCAAGTTGTTAGAACCGTTTGGCAGGGGTGAACAGGAGGATGGAAGATCTTCCTCTCTGTCTCTCCTCCTCTCTGTATATCTGACTTTCCAATATTTTATTTTAGTTTCCAATATTTATTTTTATTGGAAAGTCAGATATACAGAGATTAGGAGAGACAGAGAGGAAGATCTTCCATCTGATGATTCACTCTCCAAGTGGCCACAATGGCCAGAGCTTCTTCCAGGTCTCCCACACAGATGCAGGCTCCCAAGGCTTTGGGCTGTTCTCCACTGCTTTCCCAGGCCACAGGCAGGGAAGGGAGCTAGATGGGAAGTGGAGCCACCAGAATTAAACCAATGCCCATATGGAATCCCAGTGTGTGCACGGCGAGGAGTTTAGCCCCACTAGGTTGCTACACCAGGCCCAAATCTTTTTTTTTTTTTTTTTTTCTTTAATGTAGTTTACAAAGAGGGAGGGAGGGAAGAATGGAGAGAGAAAGAGAATCTTCTATCGACTTGTTCATTCTCCAAATGACCCAGTGATCTTTATTGGGGCAGTCCAAATCCATGTACCATCTCCCATGGGTGACAGAGCCCAAGGACTTGGTCATCTTTTGCTACTTTCCCAAGTGCATTAGCAGAAAGTTGGATTGGAAATGGAGCCGTCAGAACTTAAACCAGTACCTACATGGGATGCTGGCATTCTAAGTAACAGCTTTACCCAGGGCACACAACACTGGCCCCCAGACATCATTGTTATTAGGGCAAAGGGTGATGGGGGGCCTGTGACGAGTGATGTTAGTAGTCCCAGGATTGCTTCTGTCCCTTCTGCAGCGGGTCCCTGGTAGTTCTGAAGACTCAGGTCTGTCTCATTCAGTACTTTTCATCTGTGCTGAGGGTCAGAGCTTCAGATCCACACTCTGTGCTCGGCCCAGACTGCAGTCACACATACCATCTTCAGTTCAGACTTTCTGTCTTCCTTTCCCCTCATAGATAAACGAGCTTTCTTCATCATCTGTACCTCTGAGCTGGGGCCACCCCAAATCTATGAGCTGGTTGCATTGACGTCATCAGACAAGAACACGTGAGAACAGAGGGGTCCTGTATAACTGCTGTTCCCTTGGGACCAGGGTGGTGTGTATGAAAATGATGTGTAGTGAGACTCGGGCTGGGCCCCACAGTAGTCCCTGACAGGTGACCAGGAAGGGAGACGGAGACAGGACAAGCATGAAGAAGCCATGAAGGGATCACCATCCCAACCCTTCGACCAGGCCTGTTCCAAAGAGAGTGAGCCCCCGAAGACTAGCAGCCACCACCACTGCTGCTTTCCCTTCTGCCCACTCCCGTCCCCACCAAACCTGTTACATCTACCCGTGCTTCTCAGACCTTTGCCTCCAAGGCCCCTCCTCCCTACCTGCATGTTCCCTGACAGCAGCGATATGGCTCAATGAAGGAAAGTAAGTCAAGTCAGACAATGTCTCACCCTCAGGGTCTTCGTCTGTGGAATGTGGAAAATGCTACCTCTTAGGGAAGTATTTGGAGAGAGAAGACATATAGAGGGCTTAGCACAGGGCATAACAGAAGGTTGGTGTTCAGTCATGGTCGCCACAAGCCATGTAACCCCAAGGGAGAAGCTAGTGAAACTAGGAGGGAAGGGGGGAATCTGCAGCGAGGTCTTTGGGCCGGGTGGAGAAGCCTTAAAGCTCTAGAGCGGCAGGTCTGCAGGGAAAGAAGTCTGTGTTTGCTCTCATTCTCACCACCAACTCTCTCTTCTTGCTGAGCAACAGGTGGATGGAGCTCTTAGAAGAGGCTGTGCAACACGCAACCAGGCACCCTGGAGCTGCTCCAGCACCCACCCGTGCCCCAGTCCCAGGTCCCCAGGAACAAGCCCACCAGGATCCCACACCCAGCAGGTGCAATACTTACTCCTTCAGCCCCTGTGTGTGGCCTGCACCCCAAGCCTCCTATTTCTGGCTTCTAAGCCGTGGACCCCAGGATAGGCAGCCTCCATGGAAAATGCTGGTGGGGAATTGGACAGCTCCAGACTCCAGCAGATGGAGTCAAGACACTTCTCTGTCTTCTGTCCCTGTGTACTGTCTCCCCACAGCCTTCCACTTGGCTGGCACAAAGACTGCACCTGTACTGGAGCAGGGGGTGTAAGAAAGGGACTAGAGAAGCTAAGTCAAGGGTCTCTCTTCTCCAGGTTGCCAGCCAGATCAGGCAGGATATAAGGGCTGACACTCCCTTTTCCTGAACCCTACTCCTTCATTGTCCATTTTGGTGGGGAACCCAGGATAGAATTTTATGACATTGTCTCACATTTGGTTACTCCCTCAGGTTAGACCTGGATGACTCCGAAGTGTTCCACAGTGAAACAGAGACAGAGGAGCCACTGGGAGGTAAGTCCCCTGAAATGTATGGGAGGAAAAAGATCCATCAGGCCCAGAGTGAAAAAGATTAGAGAATAAAATGGGGATAGGGTAGAAAGAACCCGGCAGCAGAACAGGCTTCGGAGTGTGCCCTCGCTCACTTGTCTGCATGGCAGGATTGACAGTGAAGGAAGAGAAGCGCCATTCAGCTGAGGCCAGGGGTTATGGTGGGGGATGGGGATGCAGAGACTTTGAGAACAGCAAGCACAGGGGATGGAGGAGCTCAGGGTTTCAGGCACAGTTACTGGGCTGGAATGGAGAGCTGGTCCTCAAACACGATTCTCATTGGAAATTTTTATGTAAAAGTCACTCAAGGATCCCAGGCTTCTGACTGCATCTCTATTCTGTTTACTTTCTACTTCCTGGCTATACACCCCTTCCAGATTTTGTTCCAGTGTCCCATTTTCAGCACTGCCTTCTCTGATCATGCCACCTGATACTTGTGCCTTATTCTGTTTCCCACAGCACTGACCACTTATTTACAGGCAACACTGTTTACTCATTTGTTGCCTCTCTCTGTCCCTGCAGTCAAGTTAAAGCCCCACAAGGATACAGATCTTCATATTGTTTACTGATGTGTACAAAGATCCTGGGCCAGTGTCTGGCCACTGGGTGCTCAGGAAGCATTTGCAGAATGACTCAGCCCCTTGGATCCAAAGCCAGCCTCCTCCCATACATGTGTCTGATTCTCTCCTCATCCCTAGCAGGCTCTGGGCCCCAGAAGAGAGACCAAGGGAGGCAGCCAGTACTGCCAGGGGATCCAGAGCAGGAGGACCATGGAGAGGAGGAAGAGCTGGGTTCCCTGCCTGATCCTTCTGCGCCCCTGGATGGAGAGAACAGTGCTATTAGGACAAGGGCCCCAATCCACCTGGCCCTGCCAGGCCCTCTGTTTATGGAAGGACTTGCTGATTCAGCCCTGGAAGATGGTGAGTAGCTCAAGGTCTGCCATCAGCCTCTGGTCCTCAGTAGTGTGGCCAGTATGAGCGGGCAGACACCTTCCACCCTCCACCTGCTGAAGGCTCTCTGCATGTGCTTGAGGTCAGGTGGATGTAGAAATATGGCAGTCAAGGGGCCTTGGACTTCAAGCCCTACCCTATGACTCAAGGCAGGTTGAGCACTTGGGGCAAGGATAGAGTACCAGTGCTTTACCCCTACTGTGCCCTGCCCCTGCTGGCATAGCATGCAGGCCCATGCAGGGGAAGCCATCCACCTCTTCCTTTTTCCTCCTCCAGTGGAGAACCTACGGCACCTGATCCTATGGAGCCTGCTGCCAGGTCACACTTCAGAGACACAGGCTGCTGGCGAGCCAGAGGATGACCTGACCCCCACACCTTCTGTCATCAGTATCACCTCTCATCCCTGGGACCCAGGCTCCCCTGGGCGAGCTCCCACTGCAGGTGAAGGGGACAGCACTCAGCTCCCAGGGCCAGAGTGCAGCCAGCCAGAGCAGGAAGACATGGCTCTCTGCTCTCTGGAGCACCTGCCCCCACGGACCAGAAACTCTGGGATCTGGGAGTCTCCTGAGCTGGACAGGAATCTAACAGCAGAGACTTCAAGAACAGAAGGCATGGGCAATTACAAAGTTGTGAGAAAAGGTAAAATAATTGGGTGTGTTCTCTGGGGAGACAGAGCATTTTGCAAGGGTTAAGGCAAACCGTTCCTCCCCATCTTGACCTGAGGACCGTGAGCAGAGCTCACGTGCAGTACAGGAGGAGAGGTGCTGCTATATGAGGGCTTTGGAGTCAGTCGAGGTTCAGCACCAAGGTTGACCACACCTATACCGAGGGTATTTGCATGGAACATGCGATAAGATGGGGTATTTGGGTGCCGAAAGATTGTGGAATCCATGCATAGTTGTTGTTTTTTTTTCCCCTGACATGCATTTTACATTAACTTTTTGAAGAGCTCACATATGCATGTGGATTTCAAACTTTTGGTACCAAAATTAACTCAACTTTTCATTTCATTTTGCATGAGCTTTTTTTACCGTTGTATCTGTGACCTTAGATAGCCTTCTAAATCTTTCCTGACCTTTGTTCCATGATAGATGAGGACATTTCCTAATGCCTGTTAGGAAGAGGCTGCCCATGAGAGCTTCTGGCAGTGATCTGGAGCCTTCCAGTCCTGAGTCCAGGATGTGGCTCAGTTCAGGCATTCATACATACCCGAGAGGGAGGGCAGCCACTTGCAGCCAGGTCACTCCAGAGAGCAGCTTGAGTGGACCAGAAGGCCGCTAGGACGAAGGGTCTACTGGACAAGGCTGGGAGCCTGCTGGAGAGAGAGGAGTGAGGCCAAGTGAGCACATACCAGTGCAGGGTGGGGGCTATCATGGACAGCTTGGAGAGCACCATAGTGGAGATACTCTCAGGAAAGCTAAGAACAGGCTTGTGTGGGCTGTCCCAGGCAGCAAGACCCTAGGAAGAGTAAACTGGCCATAAGGGAAGGCTAGCAAAGGCGTATAGCAAGGTAGATGGAACAAAGCCTGGACCTCTCCTCAGGGGTGGATGGGATCCATGTTAGCGCTCTGCCCCACCTCCCTTTCCAGTAACATTTCCTCCACCTGCCCAAGGTCTGCCTTCTCCACTGGGTTTCTGGGAACTGACCTTCCTTCTGTCTCGTGGTGAACTGGTGCAATGTTCTCTGCAGCTCCCTAGGATGTGATCATGTATGACCTTGTGTTTACTTTGTTCCTCCCTTTTTCCTTCTTTCCTCCCCCATCCCCTCTCCCTTCTCTCTCCTCTCCCACTCCCGTCCCTTTCCCTGTCTTTCCGACTCTCCTCTCCCTGGTGGTGGTGGTGCAGCCGAGGTGGCAGGCAGCAAGGGTGTCCCTGCACTACCAGAGAGTGGCCAGTCAGAGCCTGGGCCACCAGAAGTGGAAAGCGGAACAAAGGCTACGGGTAATAACCTTCTCCTGGGAGCCAAAGGCAGATGAGGGTCAGAGCACAAGATCTGGGGCAGAGTTGGGTCTCAAGCGTCAGACTCCTGGCTGCAGTCATGGGCACACACTCCCACATCCTCCCTGGACTGCCTGGGATGGGTGAGGAGTGGGAAGTGGGCCTGAAGGTAAGCTCCTGCTTTAAGAAATCACTTATAGGAGCTGTACAGGACCATCTTCTGGGCCATAAGTTAAGCCTCCTGTGTTTAGTTTTGAGACGGGGTGAAAGTCTGGCGCAGGGACTGATGTCCTTTGCCTGACACTCTGAGTTCCCAATACCCCCACCCCAGCCCCTGCCTGTGTCACTGTGGAGTAGGCATCAGTGGCCTCCCAAATTTCTTAGTGCTTACTGCCCTGTCAGGACCCACCACGATCTTCCTCAACTGTCTCTGACCCCCTGTGATGGGTCAAGGGACGATGACACAGGTGACAATGGGAACAGGGATGACGTTGGAGGTCATCAGGAGAGCTTGAGGTGAGGCAGGTAACAGGCTGCTGCCTGCTTCTCTTCAGAAGAGCTGAAGCCAGCCTGCTAGCATCTCTGCCCTTCATTCAAGGAGCGTGAAGCAACCCTGTGTCTCTGCAGGAAACACTGCACCTACCACTTCTCCCTTCACTTCCACCACTCAGCATCTTGTCTGGCAAAATGGCCATTTTTTAAAAAGAAATTTTTTTAAGATTTATTTATTTTTATTACAAAGTCAGATATACAGAGAAGAGAAGAGACAGAAAGGAAGATCTTCCATCCAATGATTCACTCCCCAAGTGACCACAACGACCGATGCTATGCCGATCCGAAGCCGGGAACCAGGAACTTCTTCTGGGTCTCCCACACAGGTGCAGGGTCCCAAAGCGTTGGGCCATCCTCGACTGCTTTCCCAGGCCACAAGCAGGGAGCTGAATGGGAAGTGGAGCTGCCGGGATTAGAACTGGCGCCCATATGGGATCCCAGTGTGTTCAAGACAAGGACTTTAGCCGCTAGGCCATGGTGCCAGGCCCAGACCATTTAGAGAGACTCTGACAGATGAGGGCTTTTAGATTATATGAAGAGTACAAGGCCAGCATCTCCATGTTCATCAAGGCAGGGGGTGAGAGGGTCCTGATCCTGTTCTGTTGGCATCAGGAACACTGTAGGGGTAGGCAGGTGACTCGGGCAGCTCTGTACCTGCCTCCTAATTGCTTCCTCTTGCCATGGGCACAGGGAACTGTTTTTATGTCAGCATGCCAGCAGGACCCCTGGACTCAAGCACCGACCCTTCAGGGGCACCTGCAAGCCCCTCCCAACCTGACGGCCTCCCTGCCTGGCAAACAGAGCCCCGGCCCCAGCTGCAGGGAGGCAGTGAGGACCCAAGACGCCCCAGCCGCTCTATCCCAAGCCTGGCCCTCAGGGACGTGGGCCTGATCTTCCGGACCATCGAGCAGCTCACACTCAAACTCAATAGGCTCAAGGTGAGGCACACAGGGCTTGGATTCCTAGAAGCCTCCAGTCAGGGTGGGAGGTGCCCCAACCCACTCAGCCACCCTGAAACAACAGCCCCACACCAGCATGGCTCAAAGGGCATGACCCCTTTTGTGAGGATCTTTGAACAGAACACCAGGTACACATTCTCCCTGTGACTCTTGCAGGACATGGAGCTGGCCCACAAGGAACTGCTCAAGTCCCTTGGGGGAGAGTCATCAGGGGGCACGACACCTGTGGGCAATTTCCACACAGAAGCAGCCAGGTGGGCCGACACTGCCCTCTCACCCCCAGCCAAGGAGCCCCTGACCTCTGACTCCAGAAGCCACCATGAGCTGGGGACCTGCCCTGAGAACGGTGAGTGCAGCAGTAGCCCCTTGTGCCTCCTTGTGGAGCTGGCCACCCACACAGGAGGAAATGTCACCATGTTCCCAAAGGTTTCACTCCCCTCAGCAGAACTAAAGGATCTTTGCTCAGAACTTCCCTGAGCAATAGGAGCTTAGACACGAAATCCTCTTTGTCCTGTCCTGTGCAAGTGACAAACCAGGGGGAGCCCGTGGTCACTTCTGAGAGCTGCTGTTAAGTGGCTTAAAGCCAATCTGGGCCGGCTAGAGGCAGGACTAGCCCCTGACTCAGGAAGGCAGAGCACATCCCTACCTGGTCTTGGAGCTCAGGGAGCTGACAAAACAGGCCCCACCACAAAGTGGGGCTTCTGGGCGACAGGTGGACCGGGGGATCTGCTCTCATGAGTGTGGGGACTTTGTGGACAAAATACCTGGGGGAGGCCCCCTCAGGCCCACTAGTTTCTCACTGTGTCATCCTCTCGCAGGCTCTGACCCACCCCTGGAAGATGGCACAGCAGATGCCGCCATACCACCAGGACTGTAACCTTCTAGACCACCAAAGCCTCTGCGTCCCCTTTCCTTCAGGATCTGGCCTGAGGCAGGAGCACAGGGTTGGGAAGCCCCAGCCCTCCCTGCATGGAGGCTACAGCTGGGAAGACTGGGATCCACTGAGGCCTGGGGGGACCCGCATGTCACTTGGTCCACACAGATCAAAGTCAAGTTTCAGTGTCTTTCCCCTCCCTTCATCCCAACCCTTCAAGGCCTCAACTCACCTAAGCATGCCAACTGCATCAGAAGGGCCCTTGCCCCGCACAGGTGCACACATGCGCACCTGTGCACACAGCGCCCTCATGCCTGTGAGGGCAAGGAGGAAGCCTCTGTGTCAATGCACTTTTCTTCCTCCCCCTCCCCCACAGGACCCCAGCTGGAGGTGGGCGCCTCCCTCTCCTTTGTCACTTTGTTTTCCTATAAATATGTATGTATTGTATGTGCATCTTTGCTATTGTACAGAACTTTGGCCTCTTTTGTTTCTGTTCCTGGAGTGCTGAGGCAATTATAAAAGGGACAGCTAAGGGAAGAGGGGCTTCACATTTGTCTCCTGGTCAGTAGCCTAGCTCTGCGGGCAGGACCTGCTAGGTGGAGCCAGGCCTGACTCCCTGTGCCCGGTGGCTGGGGAGGCCTCTCAGGCCCAGCTCGAGTTCATCCTCTGCAGGCTGGTGCTGAGCTCCCCTCCCTCCCAGGACTTATCCTCACCAGCTGGGACCATGGGGCCTTCTCACCCCACCTGTGTCCCCCCTTCCCCACCTGGTCTTTACAGAGAACCAGAGTAGCAGGTACGGAGCTGAAAGCTGGGCCCCAGGAAGTAGGAGAACTCTGGGGTCCCAGAATTAACCCAGGACTATCCCCCAGGGCCGCTGCAGCCTAGGCCGTATGGCCATGTCCTTGCTCCACTCCCCCCAGTGAATAGAATATACACACTGTGCTAGGTGTATATATACATATATATATATATAAATATATATATAATATATAAAGTATAGATATGGAAATGACTGTTTTGCTGTTAAGATGATGTATACTCTTATTTTCTTCATTTCATGGTTAAGATTTTTTTTTTTTAAGAAAAGTTAAATATTCTTCAATCATGGTGATGTGTGTGTGATTCTTGGAACCACTGTAACAGAAGGTATTGTCGTTGTTCTGTGAGACTAGTTGGGATTGAACAGAGTATGCCAAAGGAAACCCCCCTCACCTCTCATACCAAACCTGAGAGCCAGGTCTTGCCAGGTGGTCTCCAAAACACAGACTTAGGGCACCCTCTGAGCTGTACACACACGCACACACACACATGCAGACACACAGACACAGACACATCCCCTGGACCATAGCTATCCATAACACTGCTGCCTCTGAGTCTTCCTTGGCGGACTAAGGGACAGATTGTTTGAGCACTCAGTGCCTGATGTTCTGACTCCTCCAGGGAACATGGCACTAGGCTGTGCCTACATGAGCTGTCTGATTGGGTGTTAGAATCAATAGCAGAATCCTTAGTGACACCATGTAGGGCTAAGAACAGACTTGAATCTCCCTGATGCCCCAGAGGCTTTGCAGGGATGGCTAGAGAAAACCAAGATAAGCGATCATCTTCAGGCTGTTTAATGTGCTCCGTGTTGGGACTTAGACATGAGGGCTTTTTTTCTGGAACAACTCAGCAGCCAGACCCCAAGGACTACCAGCACTGAGAGCCTGCAGGGGCACCACACAGAGTCAGCATCAGAATGTGTGGGGTGGAGGCCAAACGGATTGTGCACTGATTCCCATGCCCCTTCAGGAGAAGCTGCCTGTGGACTGCTCATGGGTTCCCCAGACCTGTGCATGCCGGGCACCTCTCCTTTCACACAGCCAACCCTTCCAGGCAGCATCCTGGCGTTTGTGTTCAGTGTTACCTTCACACCTGGATGCTCACAGGCTCAGCACCCTCTTCAGAACGGCCTGCCAAGACGTTGTATGTTTTCTTCAGCTGAGCACTTCCCTACACCCCCCAACCTTTGAACCAGTCCAGTCCCTGGGCCAGCAGACAGGGCAAAGCAGATATGGCTGGTGCTTCATTCCCCCTGCCTTCTACTCTTTCCCATGGCTTGTGCCCATCAAATTAGTAATCCCAGTCCCCCACCATTCCCTTCAGCCTCCTAGACCAAAGACTGAATGCAAATGCTAGCAAAGCATATGTCCTTCTAGGGAACACAGTGCAGCAAGCAACTCCCCTGAGCAGGCAAGCAGCAGTGCCCTGGGGCAGCCATGGCAGTGCCACTGACTAAGCTTCCCCATCAAGATTTCTACACCCCACAGTGCTAGATTCAGTCCCAACAACTCTGCTTCCAGTCCAGCTTCATGCCAATGCACCTTGGAAGGCCACAGATTATATAGCCCACATTCTTGAGCCCCTGCCACTCATGTGGGAGACCCACAGGCTCCTGGCTATGGTCTGGTTTGGAGGATAAACCAATGGATAGAAAGTCTCAGAATCTCTCCCTCTTTTTTTTTTTTTTAATATATATATATAAAATAGGGTCTTTTTTAAAATTAATTACATTGCATTATGTGACACCATTTCATAGGCTTGAATCTCTCCTTTGCTGCCCTGCCTTCCGGATTCATGAAAAAAAAAAAAGTAGTAGTGTTCCTAGCCAGTTGTTGCCAAAGGAGCTGAACTCATCTGCCTCACAGAGCCATAAAGTGCGTTGGACCATCACTTCCCTACCATTTCTGGTCATGAACAGACTAAGGCCAAATGTTCCAAGTAGTTCTGGAACAAAGTTTTTCAGACACCCTCCAAGATAAAAAGTACAGCAATAAACCAGGTTATCGGCGAGGGATCTCCCCTAGGGAGGTCTGCCCACACAGGAATAGATGTTGTGTGGCCCAGCCTCAGGGAAGAAATGCAGGTGGGGGTGCTAGGAGGGGAAAGCCGGGAACTCTTCCTCTCTGATCTTGGCCTTGATGGGGTCCCTTGGCAACATCAGCTCCTGGATCGTGGTATACGTGGGACACTGTGGGGCAAAGCAGTTTTTCTGAAAGGTAAAGGAAGTGTGACAGCTGGCAAAAAGAATGGAGATGAGACCCACAAGAGGACCCAGGGGTGGGACAGGTTAGGGGTCAGTGGGCAGGGAGAAAAGGTTGGTTTGTTGACAGTGCTCGATAAATGCAGAAGTTCTGTTGGAAACAACAGACCTTCTTTGGCAAGAGGAGACAGAAGCTGCCCATAGCAACAGGAACAGGCCGGGAACTCACCGCCAGGGATAGCCACAGCAGCCCCATTGGGCCCTTAGAGGAATTCTTAGGCTTGGAGAATTGCACCTGGTACCGCACGGCTGAGAGGAAGCCCTCCAGGCCCACCTCTGTGATGCGGTTCCCTGGTGGGAGGCAGACAGGTGGTCTGTCACACCAGCAGCCAGGTTGTCTCACACCCTCAACAGCCACCTGCTCCTCCACCCCCATTTTTGCACTCGCCTGTCTCAACCCCGGCCCTTCCCTCCTGTCTGCCTTTAGCTTTTCTCCAACCCAACACTTGCCCTCCCGGTAGCAACAGAGTACCCAACCAGAGAAGAACCAGGTCTACTCCAGAGTCAGGGTTGGCAGCCATATGGCCAGATGGAGCCCAGGTGGCAGGCCAGGTTGCGGGCAAACATACGGAGGAGGTTGAGGTGCAGGAGGACCCTGTTGCCAGGCATGAAAACTTTCCCATCTCGATGCTCCACGGGCTCCAGGAGAGGGTTGACCATCTCAGCAGCTTCGGCAACCAACTGCTGAAGTCGGAAAGCCATAGCAGGTGAGGGTGAGCTGGTCACCAGGCCCTAACTTCTTTCATTCATTACAACACAGATTGGGTGTAGCTGCTAGGGACGCAGGTACATTAAGCCCCTTTACCCTTGTCAAGTTCCTGTGGTGGGGCAAGCCAGAGAGCAACAGCCATGCAAGGCAGCCCGGCACTGGAGAGAGGCAATCTCCCAGGGCTCTGGGAGCTCAGAGAAGCAGTGTCCAGCCCAGGCTGGGAAGCCAGGAGCTGTCTCCTAGAGGCAGATAGCTTGGCACTGAACTCTGGTTTTGGGCTGGCATAGTGAAACAGTGGATTAAGCCACCATTTGTGATGCTGGCATCCCATGTCAAAGTGTTAACATGATCAGCTTCTCTGCTTCAACCCAAGCTCCCTCCTCATGTGTCTGAGAAAGTGCTAGAGGGTGGCACAAATGTTTGGGCCCCTGCCACTCAGATGGAACATCTTGAATGGAGTTCCTGGTGCCCGGGTTTGACCTGATCCCAACCCCAACTGTTCCAGGCATTTAGGAAGTAAACCTGCAGATGAAGGATGATCTCTCCTGCTCTCTTTTCATTCTGCCTTTCAAACATTTTTTAAAAGATTTGTTGTATTTTTATTGGAAAGGCAGATATACAGAGAGGAGGAGAGACAGAGAGGAAGCTCTTCTGTCAAATGATTCACTCCCCAAGTGGCCTCGACGGCTGATGCTGAGCCAATCTGAAGCCAGGAACCAGGAACTTCCTCCAGGTCTCCCATGGGGATGCTGGATCCCAAGGCTTTGGGCTGTCCTCAACTGCTTTCCCAGGTCACAAGCAGGGAGCTGGATGGAAAGCGGGACTGCTGGGATTAGAACCAGTGCCCACATAGGATCCCGGTGCATTCAAGGCAAGGACTTTAGCCATTAGGCCATCACGCTGGGCTCCTCAAACATTTTTTTAATGGGAAGATTTTTGGCTATTATCACATGAAGATGTGGTATCTAGGGTAGCCCACAAAATAAGTCACAGGTGCAAAGACCCTGGAGGTATGAAACAGGTGCATTTGGGTCTCACTTCCACCTTGAGTGATGGGCGTGAACTTGCGTGAGACGGCACTGCAGGCAGGGTAAAAAACAAGTGGGAACTGCAGAGCAGCCATACCCATTTGCAACCAAATGTTTTATAAGACCCTGGGTACCAAAGAAGAGTGCTCAAAGGGGAAGGGGCTCTTCTGTGCCTCCAGGGTGTGTGAGGAAAGACATAAAGGCTACTGACAGACCTGGAGGGATGAAGAGAGCTGTGAGCCATGGTGGTGGCAGCCCGGGAGGGTTCCCTGTGCAAGAAGTTAAGAGGCAAAAGGAAGGCTCCATGGGGCAGTGGAGAAAGTCAGATGCAAGGGCTACTCAGGATAGCTAGGTCAGTGCTGCCGCCCCACAACCTGCCTTGCTTAGGGTGCTGCTGAGAACAGCACTTTTTATGTGTTGGAGAAGGTGACAACTGTGGTGACGCTGCACTTGGGACCTTTGGAGCAGCAGCCCTCCGTGGAGGTGTGCATGGGCAGGCTGGCACTAGTCAAGGAAGGAAGGAGAACTGAGAACTGACCAGACCACAGGGTCAGGAATGCACACTGAGCTCCATTAATCCTCAGTGAGCCCAGGCTAGGATAGAAGGGGGTCTCTTGTGAAGAAGGAATAGGCATGAAAGCTGGCACAATGCAGGGCTGGGCACCACAGCCTGGGGAATGTGGGGGCAGCACCCCTAAGCGAGCCCAGCCCCACTCCTGGGAATGTACCTCCGACTCCAGGAGGATGCTGCGCTTCTCCTTGCTCCCAGACTTGGTCCCTTTCCCCTTGGTTGACTTCTGGTCAGGGATGGTTACCTCTGGGGCGGGAAGAGGAGCCAGCATGCGGCACGCAGACCTTAAATTCCCTCCCAGGCCCCCTGAGGTGCACGGTCTGGGGGAGGCAAACTGCCCGGAGGTAGAAGAAAAACAGCTGGAGGAGCCCCAGCCAGGTGTGGGGATTCTCCTAGCCAGCACAGGGCAGGATGTACAGGCCAGGAATGAGGACAGAGGGCCAGGGACAGACAGGACCAGAGAAGCTACGGGTAGGCCCATGTGAGGAAGGTGCTACAGAGAGGTGGCGAACACTTACTCCCCTTGCCTGACTTTGTGGCATCTTCTTTCTTAGGGGTTCCCTGTGTTGGTGACTGTCCAGATCCCAACTTCTCTTCTTTCTTGACCACTTCCTGTGGAGAGAGGCGAGAGATGCAAGTCCTCCCTGGCTAGGGCCAGGACCCTGGACCTGTGTAGGAACTTCAGCACACACCCCCTCTCCCCACTGTGGCTTGTCCTGCTCGGTGCAGGCTTCTCCCAAAGGCTGGAGGCCAGCTCCTGCACTCCTCCCATAGCCTCACCTACCCCCGGCTTCTCCTTTTTCTTGCCCAGTCCCTTGGGGGTCTTGGTCGCCTGTGTCTTCTCGGGCTTGTCCACCAGCGCAATGTTGCTGACACCTGTCATCTGAGACTTCTCACGGTCCATTTTGGACTCCCCATGCCGAGAGGAGGAGGGCTGTGCTCGAATGGGAGGGGTGGTGGAAGGAGCTGGGGCGAGGGACAGCCTCAGATCTGGGGGCAGCCAGGCTGTGTGCACCCTACCTAAGCACTCAGTTAACTGGACGGGACTCCTGCATGGGAGCAAGGTGGGGCAGAGGGCATGGATTCACCCTGAGGGACAAAAGCAGCCGATGTCTTGAAAACAAGCTGGATGTCGGGCACTATCCTAAGTGCCTTACACGAATTCATTAATCCTCTCAGGTAGGCACAAGTATAGCCATTTTACAGGCAGGAAAACTGAGGCCTAGAGAAGGTAGCTAACATGCCCAAGATCATAGGCTGCGACGCGGGCGGAATGAATGTTGTGACTTTTGTGTTAAGCAAGACACACTCCCGCTCATGCATGAGGCGTTCTGGGATCACTCCACACCACACCCCCTCAAGGTGGGGCCTGGAAAACATGCGGAGAGGTAGGAAAGAGGTTTGCGGATACAGGACACAGGCGGAGGCCACTGCTCACCGATCGCGATCGTTCTTGCGACCCTTTCTCCAGGAGGAGGCGCCGGCGCTCCACCACCTCCGTGTGCGTCAGCTCGAAGGGGCGCAGGACCTGGCGCGAGGCCTGTAGCTCGCCACCCAGTGCCTGGGAGTCCACCTTCTCCGCGCCGCTCCCACCCACAATCAATCGGCACACGAACCTCGGCCAGCTTCAGGGCGCCCTTGTCCTGGATGCGGTTGTGGGCCAGGGACAGCCAGAGCAGGGAGCGGTTCAGCCGCAGGCCCTAAGGAGGAGAAGGAGGCAGGGCTGCGTGAGCCTGCCGGGTAGGGCTGCCCCTGCCTATCAGGGTCTCTCCCAGTCATGCAAGCACCCACGCACATCGGCGATGTAGCCCGCGCCCTCATCACTGATGTGGTTAAAACTCAGGTTGAGCGAGACAAGAGTCCGGTTGCAGCTGTGCAGCGTGGACAGCGCCTGGCCCAGCAGGTGTGCTCCGTGGTCGTCGATTTTGTTGTTCCGCAGGGATAGGTGCGTGATCCTAGGCCAGCAAGGGGGAAGACCAGGCTCGCTGGCGGCACAGGCACTCCTGCATAGTGGAGGGGATCTGGACTATGTCCGATGGGGCAGGAACTGTGGGCGCCCTGGAAGATGCTACAGATGTCACAGCCACACGGAAGGGCAAGGACTAAAGATGGCTTGGGGAGGGGTGGGGCAGAGGAGTGAGAGGAAGACAGGAACGTCTCACGTGCTGTCCAGCCCCATGAGCTTGTGGTAGGACTGCTCTGGCAGCGGGTTCCCCTCCAGAGACACCTTCCTGGGGAGATGGGGGAATAAGGAGAGACTCAGAGAGGTCAGCAAGGGTTCCTGTTCCAGTACAGGGACCGTAGGAACCATGCCCCCAGACCAAGAGTCAAAACACGTGGCCCTGCCACAAGGCCACTGCCCAAGGGTGGTGACCCAAGCTGGCCTTGAGGATGGCCTTCCATCGCCGTCCCTTCCCCCGCCCCCCAGCGTTCCCGCCCTTGTGTACTCCCTCCCAGCACCCCAACCCCCGGAGGTGGCCTGAGACCAGGGACTCACTGCTAACCAACAGAGTCTAGCCAAAGTGAGGTGAAGTCACCTCCAAGGCTAGGGACAAAGACACAGGCTTCCTTTTTGGACCAAATCGCCAGCTGCCCTGTCACAAGGACATTCAGCCCATGGGGAGCCTGGTCAGCCTGGCAAAGAGCGCCACCTGGAGGAGAGTGCAACCCCAGCCCAGAGCTTTTAGGGGAAGCAGAGACACCCAGCAAGGTCCAGCCAGCCTGCACCCACCTCATCCACAGAACCTCACAGGCGGGCGGTGTTTGCTGGGCAGGCAACTACCTGTCACACAGCAAGAGCTGAGCACTGTATGCCCTTGCAGGAGACAGAGGCTTCTCCAGCAATACTGAAAGGAGGTGTCCTCCAAGTCACAGCTAACGTTGAACTGATAGCCAGAGCAGACCCTCAAAATATTCTCCCAGACTATTCCTGCTCAGCCTTCAGGGTGGCCTCAGTGTTCACCCAAACTTGGTGACACTCCGTGCTGAAAGGACTTGTCTCCACACAGTGAATTCAGTTATTTTCTGGTATTCCCAGGATGGGATGAAATGTGTGCTTCATGGTGTCCGTCCTCAAGGCTGGGCACCTCCTCTCAGGGAGCATGCTCCCAGGAACACGGGAAATGCAGGCTAGCCTGTGTGGCACCACACACGCACACACACACACACACACACACACAGGGGTGCGTTCTGTGGCATAAGGAGGGTCAGCAAACAAACCAGCCTTGTCCTTTACACTGCAGCCACACCTTACTGTTCCCACCCTGCCTGGCCTGTTCCCAGTCCTGCTTCAGGGCTCCATTAGTCACCCTCTCCTCCACGCAGCCCCTGGGGCTTCCTCCACCTCATACTATTCTCCCCATGAACCATTCCTCCACAGTCTCATAGTGCCATCTGGTGCTGTGGCCCGTTTCTATCAGCCTGGGCTCACGGGAGCTGTCATTTGTCCCTTGTGTCCGAGACAGCTCCCCTGGGCCAAGATCCCTCCCCCACTCCCATGCCCCAGCTGACCTGAGCGTGGGCGAACAGAGAGGAAGTAAGGCGATGAATGTGGTCAGGGTCTTGTCAGTAATGCCCACCTTCCACAGGCTTGGGGGGGCAGAGAGGAGATACAGACAGGGGGGTCACCTCCTGGAATCCCCCAACCTCACATCCCCTTCTGGTCTTACCCCCATGATCCCCATTCGCACCCATCCCATGTCCAGTGCCCTCACTTGATGGCCTGTAGCTGGCTGAGGGAGGGCAGGCATTTAGCAAAGATGCCCAGAATCCGGTCCTCCACCTTCCAACCTGCGAGGGAGTGGAACCAGGCGCTGGAGGGAGGCTGAGTGCTGGGGCGAGCAAGGCGGTGGAGGAAGGCTGGCAGCAGCGCTCACCGCGAATGTAGATCTCCTTCACGGCTTTACTGTCCTCCTGCTCCAGCTCCACCTGGATGGTGGGCCGGAAGAACCCATACTTGCTCTCCAGGCTGGTGAGGCTGCAGGACGCCGACAGCCGCTGGTCGTCTGGAAGGCAGGGGGAGATGAAAGGGGACCGAGCCCCCGCGGACCAGGTGGGACCTGGTCCCACCCTGCCCGCCCGCCCGCCCCTCCTGGAGCTCCTCGGATGGAACAGGTCGGTGGTGCTGGCCAAGCCACGAAGGCCCGCCTACAACCCCCAACAACCCCCAACCCCCACAGTCAGCCCGCCCCATCACTCACCTAGCGCGGGTTTTTCGGACGTGGAGGAGGAGGGGACGAAGTTCGGATGGGGACGAGGCCGGGTGACCACTTTGGGGAAGTCCACGTAGCCCGAGCGCGTGCAGAGCTCAGCGAAGTCTGTCTCCAACACCCCGGTGCACTGGTACTCCTCTGTGCGGGACGGGGGCGGCCGTGTGAGAGGGGCCGTGCCTCCAGCCACCGCCAGGGGACAACGGAGGCCCGAGGCGCCGCCAAGGTCGGCTCAGCACGCCCACTCTCATTCCCACGCTCGCCTGCGCCCTCGCAGAGCCGCGTGGTCACAGCGCAGGCACAGCAGGGCCGGCTCCCCTGCCACGCCATGGGTCAAGGTCACTTCCACCCTCACTCCCCAACCCTCCATCCTCGTTCCTTGTTCCCTTCCTTCCACGACTGTGCCCAGCCCAGCCTTCTCCCGCATCCCCAGTCCCTGCATGACCCGTCTGGGCCATGGGAGAGGAGCGGGATGAGAGGCCCAGGCCCGATGTGTCCCTGTGCTCCCAGCACCTCGAAGTCCAACGGAGTGGCTGGCTTCCATCCAAAGACACATTAATGCACTTGGTAGAAGGCACCCTACTTCAGAAACATGCACAACCTGGAGTCGCCCCACAGACACTTGCGGTGCATCCTGCTGCATCTGAGTCCTGGAAAGACCCTCTGGCCTTTTTGGCTTCCCCAGGCACACCCCAAGGGAAGGGGACTCAATCCCTCAGCCCCCTGGAGCTCCACAGCCACACTACCCAGGCCATCAGTTCCTGTAACTGCCCAGGGGGAGACTGCCCACCTGGGAGGCAAGGGGCTGGGAAAAAAATGCCCAGGCCGTGTGTCAGGGTTCATAGGGGAAGGGGTAAGAGGCCCCCACCTCCTTCAGATTATCCTTGGCAGGCTGGCTCCTGCCTGCCCAGGTTGACCCTTCTGCTGCCCGTTCACTCACACTGTTCATCCCAGGAGCCGGCTCTTGGTCTTCAGGAGTCACCTGCTCGGGCCCTCGGAATCCACAGGCTGAGTGGGGCCTGGGAATTTGCATCTCTAACAGGTTCACCTTGGACCTTGCTAAAGCCAGGCGTGCAAGGACAGCGCATCTAGGAGCCCCACTCTGGGCCTCATTCATGATGACTCCATCTTGAAGCACAGTAGCCATGGCTGGCATATCCTCTGTCTCATATGAGCCTCACCTTTGCCCCCTCCCCATGGCAACCCCTTAACATCATCATGTCCCGCAGGTGCCTTCCCCTCCTGGCGCCCAGACCTCTGCCCACTACTTCTCTCCATTTCTATGCTTGGAACCCTCTCCTCTCCTCCCCAACACATAGCTGTCATTCCCAGGGGCTCAAATGTACAGGGACATGACACCCCCGCCCTCTGCTGCATCCTCTTTCCTGACTCCCCTCAGACTCCCATCTCCACAGATGGCCTCATCTCAGCCTGGGCGTCTTTCTTGCTGTGCCCCTCTCTCCACACACACCCAAGTCCTTTGCCAACTCGATCCTACCTCAACATATTTCTCCATCCCTCTGCCATGCTTACTGTCCCATCCCATATGCTGTCCCTGCACCAGGCTCTAGAAGCAGCTTCAAATGCTCCCGCCAGTTCTGCTCCATTTTCTATGCCACAGCCATAGTAGTGTGCGTGTGCATATGCAGATATTCCCTTGTCCTGCTTTCCAGAAGATTACTATCTCCCTAGCTGCTGCACCAGCACTGACAAGCAGATGGCGCTGGCCGGGGCTGGAGAGCACACAAACCATTCCCACAGTTTTCCCCAAATTCCTGTCCCTCTCTGATGGCAAAACTGGCAGGTTATATCAAGGAGCCATCCCATCCATTCCTCTGTGTGTTTCGTTTGGGTGCGGTTCTAGCGCTCCCAACAGACAGTGCCGTCCCCACAAAGGGGGGTCTAATGCTTTCCTTTGCCAGAGAATGTCAGTTCCACTAGGCCAGCCAGGACTACGGACAGCTCAGTGCCTTCTGAATCCCTCCTGGTGAAGCAGCAGACATTCAAAAAGTACGCAGTGGATAGCTACAAAACTGCTTCCAAGAGCTTCTCAAAGCTTTGCCCAAGAACTGTTTAGGGCATTGCTCAGCCTCAGCACCCAGGGCTCTGGGACCGAAGCCCACGGACATTCCGGGTGGGGCCCAATGAGCCCTCCAAACTCATGGCTCACCAGCCACATGTGACAATCTCTAGATTAAAATCTCATTCTCACCAAGAGGGAGGTTTTGTCTGGATAGACGAGAGCTATAGCCAGCACTGTGCATTGGCTTCACCTACAGCCTGCTGTGTCACCTTCTCATATGAATACTGGTTCTAGTCTTGCCTCGCTGCCCCACTTCCCACCCATTTCCCTGCAAATACGCCTGGGAGAGCAATGGTGGATGGCCCAAGTGCTTGAGCTGCTGCACCCATATGAGAAACCCAGATGGAGTGCCAGGCTCCTGGCTTCAATGCAGCTGTTTGGGGAGAGAACCCATGGATAGGAGATTTTCCTCTCTGTAATTTGCCTTTCAAATAAATAAATCTTTATTTTTAAAAGTTTTTTGGGGAGGTGGAGGGAGACAGAGGAAGATCTTCCATTCACTGGTTCACTCCCCAAATGACATAATGGCCAGAGCTGGGCAGGTCCAAAGCCAGGAACCAGTAGCTTCTTCCAGGTCTCCCACGCGGGTGCAGGAGCCCAAGGACTTGTACCCCCCCCCACCCCTTTTGTTGTTGTTGTTGCTTTCCCAGGCCATAAGCAGAGAGCTGGATTGGATAAAGCCAAGCAGCCATGGCTAGAACCAGTGCCTATGGAGGAATGCCAGCACCTCAGGTTGAGGATTAGTGGGCTATGCCACCACACTGGTGCCAAAACATAAACACATCTTTTTTCAAAAAGAAAAAAAAAAAAACCCTGCGGAAAGAGACCTCCTGCAAGCCCCCTTCCATCCAGTGACCCCCCCGGGGCCTTCCTGCCCGCTGAGCAAACCTTACTGTTATGTCAGCACCCCCCCACACACACACCCCCTACCCCAGCCACACACAGTGTGGGTCCTTTCCAACCAAGTTCAGGTCCATCTTCTACCCAGGAACTCAACCTGGCTACCAAGCGGCCAGTGGCAGGCGGGAACGCGGAGCCTGAGCCCCTCCAGGCCAGTCGCCAGCGTACCCGGGTTTTTGGGCTCGTCCTCGCCCACTGGCGGCAGGGCGGCCGCCGGCTTCTCCTTGCCGGCGCGCTCGCCTTTCTTGGTCGCGGCACCGGCCGTCTTCTGGGTCCCGGGACGCTGGGGCCTGGGTGAGGCCGTTGACGCACTGGACTCGCTCGACATGCTGCTGCCGTCCGCAGCCCCCCGGGGGCCCTCGAGGAAGTGCAGAGGCACAAGCGGACCCGGTGAGGCTCGCTCTCGGGTGGCTAATTCTAGAGGACTCCACTCGGCCTCCTCTTCCGGGCAAACCCGCCGCGCCGGGGGCGGCTTTGCAGGCGCGTCCCTCTCCTAGACAACCGCGCGAGGCAGGGGCGGCCGCAGAGCACGGCGCGAGGGAGGCAGAGCCGCTTGGGCGCCCGGCGCGAGGGAGGCAGGTGGCGCCCAGGCGGGACCCGAGCCAAGCCGGCGGGCGCCCGGACATCTCCCTTCGCACTGGGGACTGAGCCCGGAAGAGTGCGGCCGGGCGGCGGGGACAGTAGGAACCCGGGCCCGTTGTGGGAAGCCACTGGTGTGAATCCAGGTCAGTGCTTGGTGGCAAAGGCCCATGTTGGTGCAGTGCTGGGTGACCACCCTTCTGCCTCCTGGAGCTCTGAGGTTCCCTTAACCCGCTGCCGAATCCATCAGGCGCTCTGTGAAGACCAGCCTAGACAATGCATTTTGTCTGCTTTCTCCTGCTTGGCCTGCCCACCTCCAGTCCCTGAACCCCAGTTCTGCCTCATTCCCTCCCCACCCCGCCCCTCTGGGCACCTGCGGTCTGGGAACTCAGCAGTTGGCCTGTGTCTCTTTACTTGTTGCAGCAACCCAGCCAATCCATCAGCCTTTGGGGGAAACATTTATTGAATGCCTACTGTGTGTCAAGAACCAATATTGAGCATAAACACCAGAGTCTGGCCTTCCTTCAGACTCATCAGACAAGTCCCAGAAAGAAATAGTACAAAAGAGGTGCTCAGTCCCCAGTGGGCTTTCTGCAGGTCCCCAAAGGAATGCAGCTGTCATGGGTGCTGTCCCAGAGGGGTGTAGTGGGGAGAGTGGGGACATGAGAGGAACATTGCATATGTTCAAGTTCCTTGGAGAAGACCAGCAGGGAACACAGCTCAAGGCAGGGCTGGACAGACAGGCCAGGGCAAGCCAGGCCAGCCGAGCCTCTGAGACCTTCAAATGTTGGCGCTGGCCTGGAACTAGACCAGCTTGCACTGGAGGGGTAACCCAAGGAATGTGGGGAGCCCCCATTTAGGGCTACCTCCAGACAAAAGGGTGTCTGAGGACATGACCCGCGGCTGGTACCCCTCTGAAAGTACACACGTGCACAGAGCCCAGCACAGGTGTGCACGGACAAGGTACCTGATACACACTTCAACCCATCTGGGATGAGCCATCTGGGAACACCACACCCACCAGTTTCTGTCTGTACCCAGGGTCGCTGGGCCTTGGGGAACAGTGGGCTGGCCACAGGGGACCAGTTCTCCTGCTGACTCCGAAGGAAATGTGGGAGTCAGCTCCACCTCTCCATCCTCGTCCTCCATACCGCAAGCTCACGTCCGTGGCCCGCAGCCTGCTCCCTGCACCTGGCAGGGAGCATCAGGCTCCATCCTTAGCTGCAGGCAGCTGGAGGTGGGTGTGCTGGTCTCAGCTACACCCCAGTGGCCCCTCAGCGGTCTTGGTGCCGAAGTGGGGGTGACGGGGGGTGCCGTACTGGAGGCAAGTCATAGTGCCCCGGAATGTGGCTGTTTTTGGGTGAGTCGTAGTGGCCAGGCGGCAGGCCTGGAGGCAGCGGGGGCTGGGGGCCCATGGAGTCTCGGTCTGCAGACAAAGGGGACAGGCTGTTGCAGAAGTGGCTCCTCCCCTTCCCTCCCCACAAAACTGCCTCAGATTCTTCTGTCAGAAGAGAAGCAGATGAAGGTGTCTTGAATCAGCCCGGTTTCCCACCAGCTATACTTCAGGGTGCCTCACTGCCTCAAACTGTCCATCTCACAACCTGTGACAATGCTGTCACCTGCCTTGTCCTCTTCCTCCCTGGACACCAGCTCTGCCCACCATTGAAGCAGGTGCACCACAGGGCTCTGCAGCCTTAGAGGAGGCTCTGTGTCCCCTTTCTCCCAGGCCTCTGCAGCCACTGCTGGACACTCACCAGGGGTCAGGGGGTTGGGCTGCTCATAGGTGCCGCTGTCCCTCTGTGGCTCGAGGCACCGCCGCCTCTGGCTGTCCCGGAGCTGAAGGGGCTGCCTAGGGGGAGAACCTGAGGGAGGGCCCTTCATCTCCACATAGCTGCTCTCTCGGAGGCCCCCTGGCAGGCTGGGCAGGTCCCGGATGGTCGCATAGGGGTTTTCGCTGCTCAGGGAAGCTGTGCTGGCCCCCAGCCCCTCCTCAGAGATGAGCCCTGAGGATACAGAAAAGAAGTCAGACCTGGAGTGGGTGCATCCTGGCTCCTTCCCTCATAACCCCCCTACCCCACCCCGCAGCCCACACCTTTATTGTAGTATGGGCCGCGGCCATTACTGTTGCTGTAAGTGTAGCTGTAGCTCCGGTCCAGGCGGCTGTTCCCTGAGGAAGAATGGGTTGCAGCTCGCAGTTAATCCCCCAAGGCCTCCCCCACTGCCCTGTCTCAGCCACGCCTTCATCTAGGACTGCTGTCCAGAATTCTACTGCACATGCGTACACTGAGGAGGGGGCCAGCTCATGCCTGTCCTCACCAGGTACCCACCCCCTCCATTCCAGCCACCTACCCCGGTCCAGGGAGCCGGGAGGGGGCTCACGGCGATGTTTCCAGTCGGCAGGCAGGGTGGCGTGGTTCTCATGCCCATGGGCCCCGCCTGGCCGCTCAGGGACCTGCAGGCTGGCAAAGTGCTGACTGCCCGGAACCTGAAAGGAGCCAAGGCCGACAGGGAAGGGACACAAGGATGGGTTTTACAAAGAGCAGGTCAGTGCTCAGCCCCTTTCCCCCACCACACCTCCATTGATACTAACCTTATTGGGGGGTGGCGGGTTAGGGGAGCACTGTGACAAGGTGTGGTAGCTGGGGTTGGAGTAGTAATGACTGTAACTCGGAGGGACATCTGTAGGACAGTGACAATGCAAGGGGAGCTCAGAGCGAGGCGAGGGGTCCTGAGGTCAGTAGTTTGGCCTCCTTCCCCTCCACTCCCCAGTTCCTATCTTCCCCCGTGTCTGCACTTACTTGTACCCAGGAGCTGCCTGCTCATTCAGACCCCAAGGGCCACCCACACCGGCTCACCTGGCATGACATACTCGGAGCCATCCAGTCGCCCACTGGTGTAGGCCACTGCCAGATGCTGGTGCTCTTTGCCCTTCTGCCAGTGACGGTAGCCGATGAACAGCGCTACCAGGACCACCACGAGGGAGCCCAGCACGGCAATGCCAACCACAGCACCCAGCGAGTTATAGGCTAGCGGGGAGGTGGGCATAATGGTAAAGGTTTCCTGGCTTCCTACAAGAGAGGAGGTGGTTGCTCAGGGTGGTACCTTGGCTCTGCTGGTGAGTCCAGCGAGCAGGTGCGGGAGAGAGACCCAGAAAGGAGGATGGGGTGGGGGTGGGAGGCAGCAAGGGCAAAGGGAGGTACTTAATGCTCACCGATCCTGCAAGGTGCACCGCTGTGCCCAGGAGGACACACACAGGCTCCAGTCTCTGGGTGGCACTTCTCTCCAGGACCACATTGGCACATCTGGGAGCAGTTGGCACCAAATACCCCTGGAGGGCAGCCTGTACAGACAGCCAAGGAGGCCGGCAGAGATCAGAGTGAGCTTCTGGCTCCTGTTTGGCACAGGGCTAAGACAGGGGCCGGGGTGCGACCACCTCCTCGCATCAGTACCTTCTAAGCAATGGGGTCCAGTCCAACCCGGGGGGCAGGCACAGCTCCCGTCCTGGGGGTGACAGGTGCCACCATGGTGACACTGGCAGGGTTGCGAGCAGTTGGCTCCCCACTGTCCTGGGGGACATGCTAAGGAGACAAGGGCCTATGTGGCAGGGCAGGGCCACCCCTCATGGCCAGACCCTCAGCCACAGCAGCACTAAGGTCTTTAGTGTAGCTTCCCCACCGCCCCCCAGCTGAGGGGTGGGGGCAGGCTCTGAATTGTATCAGTTCCCTGAGAACTCCCAGACACTTTCCTCCCAATCCACCCCTGCAAGCAAACCACACACGTCTGTCCCCCAAAAATCTGCGCGTGTCTTTCTGACAGCCATTACAAAAGCTCAAGATAGCCCAAGCCTTCTCGACCACCCTGGACTTCCTCCCTCTGGACAGCTGGCTTGTTTGCTTTTTTTTGTTAAGGTAAAAGAGAACTAAACACCCATTCTATCCGAGGCGTTATTTTTCTTTAAATAGATAAAAATTTCTGACATTAGCAAATTGTTTTGCTTCCAGAGCCAGAGTTCCGTCCCCTGGTTCGCCAGTCATAACTCCAATGGACCAGGGTGACTTGGGTGGGCCAGGCCAAAGCCAGGGGCAGGAAACAGAAGTCAGGTCTGCCATGTAGGTGACAAGGACCCAAGGACTGAGTCACACCTGCTGTCTCCCAGAAGATATGCATTTATCAAGAAGTTAGAATCAGGAGCCAGACTTGGGACTGGGATGTAGGCATTCCGATATGGGAGGCAGGGGTACCCAGCCGTGTGTTAATCATTAGCACTTACCCTAGTAAAATAATTAATAGGCATTGCCTGCACCATCTATGGAAAACTTTTGACCAAGGCCACTTCGCTCTTTGGCCTGCCTGCTGGGAAGCTCCCATACAGCCTTGTTCATGGTAACAGCCTCTCCCTTTTTCTTTCAAAATTTGCTTAACTTCTAGTGTCTTTTTTTTTTTTTTAGATAAATCTTTGCCACGATCACCTTCAAGTTACGTATGTGGGGAAAAGGCCGTGTGTAGATTAAAAATAAACTGAACCAAGCAAAATAAAGCATGTGTGCAAACCCAGCTGATGACTTCCCCTGTGCCTGCAAAACTGCCGCTCTTCCCCCATTTCCCGAGCAGAAGGCCAGGGAATGGTTTGTTCCAGAACAGGCCCAGCCTGTAGGTGATGTCACGTGAGGATTTGTTCAGAGAAGTGACTGAGTCAAGCAGGGTCCCGCAGCAGGGAAGCAAGCCTCACGCATCCCCAGCCGCCCATCCCGTCCCACCCCACCTCGACCAGCAGGTTCCTGTGCTGACACACAAGCACCCACGTACGTA